ACCATTCCTCTTCAATTTCTCATTCCTGGCATAGTAATCCTGGCATAGTAAACCATGTAGTTGTCAGATTCAAAATGGCCAATACCAGTCCATTTCAGCTCATTAATGCCTAAGATATCGATGTTTATGCATTCCATTTCATTTTTGGCAAGTTCCAATTTTACCAGATTCATACTTCATACATTCCATGTTCCGATTTCCTCTTCATTTTGAGTTCAACTCTACTTTGAGGAGGCATCTCTTCTTCCTCAGTTGCATTTTGTCGTACCTAGTCTGTCTTTGTTTGGAAGCTCATCTGAAAGCTGTCCACCATGGGTGACCCTGCTGGTTATTTAAAATATCGGTGGCCTAGCCCTCAGAATCACAGCAACTCACAAGCCACCACAGTACGACAGACAGATGCGTGGTGGCCATTTGGTTTTATGTCGGAACTGTCACTTTAAATTTTGAGGAGATCTGTGCGTTAGCATAGTAGAACCCTCCAGGGATAAGAGTGGGGTACCTACCCATTTGCTCAGGTATCTCCTCTAGTTACCAGAATGGAGGTGTGCAGTCAGCGAGAGACCAATGAACGAACAATGGACAGATACCAAAAAAAAGTGTCCACACCTGTATCTCCTCGGTTCTGTCTGGCGTTTGTGGCTGCTCTGATCCTTCTGCAGCTTGGTCTGTTCCAAAATGGTGATTCTGGGAATAGCTGAGCATCGTGAATTAGAAAGCAATGGATTTCATGAATCTCCTACAAATTCCCCTAGCTGTAAGCCTTCCAATCTTCTAAATATTCCTTTATATGTGGTGCAGAGTTCTGGCACTATCCCCTGAGCCTGCTTGGCATAGTATTCGGTGTTGTTAATGATGGAGCTCCTCACGGCACGTCTACCCGATCTGACATCTTGATTGTATCCCTGCATTAATAGTACTGAGATATTTTACTTTCTCCATACTGAATCTTCAAAATTTGGTGTGTACTTCACAGAACGTCTGTTTGGACCAGGCCCATTTCAAGTGCGCAGTAGCATTACGTGGCGAGCGGCTGCTGTACTGGATGGTGCAATGCTCAAGAGTGCGGTTGTGTCCTTCATGCACATTAACCTGGGAATGAAATGCTGCCAGTCACAGAAGTCCAGGGAGCACAGGAGACTCTGATTGACATAATGAACAGAAATGTCACTTAGAGTGCTGGAGATGGAGAGGTAAAGGACATTTACCCGTGGTTACTGAGGTGATACCTTCACACGGACTCCAGTTCTGCTTCTACTTCTAATGGAAGGACCTGGGCTCAGAGAGGTGAGTAGTGTTTTCTGCAGTGGGTTCTCAACAAGTAAGCTACAGTCCTGGGGTCTCTGAGATCCTTTCAGTGGATCTGTGAAGAAGCTAAAACTACTTTCTCAGTAGTTCTAAGGTGACTTTTTTTCCCCCACTTGTGTTGACATTTGCAATCTTGACATTTGCAATCTTGTTGTATTTGCAAAATTGTTGTTAGTGGATAAAACGGCTGGGGGCTTAGGACAGATCCCTGCAGTGGTGTCTAACCTGTTCTTAGGTGCCACTGAGTCAGTGACCCTAGGTGACAGAGCAGAACTGCCCTGTAGGGTATTTTAGGATGCGATATTTATGGGAGCAGATTGTCAGATCTTTCTCTCATGGACGAGCCCTGGTGATGCTGTAGGCTAAGCAATGAACTGCTCACTGAAAGGGTCAGCTGTTCAAACCACCAGTCACTCCATGCAGGAAAGATGAGGCTGCCTGCTCCCACAAAGATTTGCCATTTCAGAAAGACTATAGGGGGTCGCTGTGAGTCAGAATCGACTTGAAGCTAGTGGGTGGTTCTCCCACAGAGCTACTAGGTGGGTTCTAAGGGCCAACCTTTCAGATGTCCATTCTGAATGAGGCTATCTTCATGCTGTTTATTGGCCCAGTGGTGAGAATTTTTGTTTTCTTTACATTCAGCAGCAAGGCTGTCCATAGCTTGTCATAATCTACACAACTGAAAGTCAAAACCGATCCAATGGCACTTAACAACAAATGTATATGTTGTTGTTGTTGGGTGCCATCAAGTCAGTACTGACTCACAGCGACCTTATTATGCACAGCAGAATGAAATACTGCCCGATCCTGGGCCAACCTCACTACTGTTACCACACTAGTCCATCGATGCTGCCACCTGGCCATTCCATCTCGTTGGGGGTTTTCCTCTTTTTCTCCGAACCTCCATCTTACGAAGCATGAAAATATGTCCAAAGTATGAGAGATGAAGTTTGGCCATCCTGGCCTCCAAGAAGCACTCTGGCTGCACTTTTTCCAAAAACGGATCTATGGGTTCTTTTGGAAGCCCATGGCACTTCTAGTATTCTCCTCCAACACCATACATAACTCAAAAGCATCAATTCTTCTACAATCTTCCTTATTTACTGCCTAGCTTTTGCATGCATATGAGGTTATAGCTAATAAAGCTCAGGTAAACATCTTTCTGGGATACTCCGCTTTCAGCCAAGATCCAACTGTCATCAATTTTCTATACTATGATGGCTTGTGCATTGCTGTGATTCTGGAAGCTATTCCACTGTATTTATTAAATACCAGCAGAGTCACTCAAGGTGGACAGGCTTCAGCAGAGCTTCCAGACTAAGACAGACTAGACACCAGGAGAGATGGGATACTTCTAAATATTTAGTCACTGAAACCTTATGAATAACAGTGGAACACTATCAGACCAGCACCAGAATATTGAATACTGAAACAGGATAGGCGCACCAGAATATTGTCAGACACTCAAGATATTACTCAAAGTAGAGTTGACCATGATGACACAAATGGAGTAAAGCTTTTGGGACCCTCCATTGTCTGATGGGGCACAACCCAAAATGAAAAGGAAAATTCTGATACATATATATGTTGAATCTGTGTGAATGAATATACAAGGGGGCTTTAAAACGCTGGTGGAAATTTTTCATTTTCTATCTACGCCATTTTTCTACAAACTTTTTGAAGTCCCCATGTCTACATAATATGCTAATACTATACGCAGAGAGTTCATCTGAGTGGCTGGAGACACGGGGATGACCTAAACAGAAAAATGACTTCCGGGTGAGCTCCTTACCATGATGCTCTTGTACATGTTGCCGTTGTTGTCTTCTATGCTGATACGGATGATGCAGGTGTCTTCATTCTGCTGGTTGTAAACAGGAGGAAGCACTGCCGAGGTAATGGATGTTACGGAGACGGAGCGCTTGTGGATTTTGGGGTTGCTGTTGCAGGTCGGAGGAGAGGAGAGGGGATTGACTAAGGACGACATCCCTGAGGAAGCTGTGTCCATGGAGTGGATGGAGGAACACGAGGAGGAGGATTCGGAGAGCTGGGAAAGGAGAAAGCAGGACTATCAGAACTTTCACTAAAAGAGTAGATTGCAGTTTTCAAAAGAAGAGGTGGATGTGTGGGTGGATTCACTTCAGTTATTTCCTCCACAGCACACAGGCATTGTACTTAACCTGATGCATTTTAGTGGCTCATTCCATCTGCATGGCATGAGGCATTTTCCTAGTTTCCCAGCTGCTTTTAAGGAAGCCGACCAGCAGATGGCAGCATATACCAAAAACTAGATAAAATATAGGCTCCAGAAGGAAAACAACAATTTACAAGACTACAGGAAATCCAGAAGAGGATTTCAAAAGATTGGCTGGTGAGTTTGAAACAAGGGTGAGGTGGTGCTGCAAAGTCGGTTGGAATGGCAAAGTCAGTGGTTCAAGCACACCAGCTGGTAATTTTGTACGTCCCGAGAATGATATTGTAAATTTTGTCATAAAAAAGGTGTGGTGCTGTGGGTTAATGAAAAAGACTGCAAAGTTCCTTTGAACCACAAGGTCGGCAATTCAAGCTCACTAGCCGCTCCTTGGGAGAAAGATTTACAGCCATGAACCCTTTGCAGGGTCACTATGAGTCGGAACCGACTCCATGGTACTTAACAACAATAAGCCGCTCACTCCTTGGAAACCTTATAAAGGGTTGCTATCAGTTGGAACCGACTCAACAGCACTTAGCAACAAGCCCTGCTATATAGGGTTTCCAAGTCCTGGTGTGGTGCTGTGTGATAATGCACTGGACTATAAGGTCAGCTTGAACCAAAAGGTGAGGGGTTCAAACTCACCTCAGAAGCCCTGTACAGGTCGCTATGAGTCAGAATAGACTCAATGGCACTTAAACAACAATACCTGAATCTAACAGGGATACTGCTTAACACACACATAATTTTCATCCTGACTCCAGTTAAAAATCAGATTTTGTAGTGAGAGAGAAATGTCTGTTTCATTAGATGTTCCTAAAATAAGCAACACAGATTATAAAACTGGCACTAGAACATAAAAGGAGCTCTAGTAGCGTAGTGTATACGATTCAGGCTGCGAATCTCACGGTCAGCAGTTTAAAACTACGAGCCGCTCCGCAGGAGAAAGATGAGGCTTTCTGCTCCCATAAAGATTTACAGCCTCGGAAACCCTGTACAGGGTCGCTATGAGTCAGAACGAACTCCACGACCCATAACCAACCAATAGTAGATTATCTTAGTAGCCTCCAGTGTAGCCTGCAGGCAAGGAAGAGCTGGTCACAGAATCTCAGAATAGGAGGGTGAAGTTGGGATGCAGGCCCTTTCTAGTTAATATCCAGGGATCCTCCAGTCGAGGGACTACTGACAACCCAGTCAATGACTGTCTTCAACCTAAAAAAATCCATGACTCTTTGAGACAGGCTCATCCAAAGGATTACAGAAGAAAACATTACTTGAGCAAGAATTAGAAAACCAGTGATTAAGGATGAGATTAAAAAAGATAGAGGAAGGGATGGCATATAAACCACACCATGTGGGGTTCCAGCATAGTTCTCAAGGGGACAATCTGGTCCACATCCACAGCAGACTGTGAGAAAAATAGAACCACAGCAGCCACACAAAGTAGGGAAGAACCCCACAAAGATGTGGCAATACCTTGGTGGGCTCTTTCTAACAACAGTCATCACCGGAGAAAGGGGTCTACAAGCATTAAGGCCCTGTCAGATGTGACCGATGAGAACCTCCAGAGGCTGACAAATTCACAGCAACATGTCAGGGGCCATGGGGGATGATGTTACTACCCAGCCTGAGAAGCAGAACAGGCAGTATATGGTAGCTTCTAGCACTTTTCCTTCAAAACCTGGAGCACACAGTATGTGCTCCCTGTATTTCAAGCTAGAAAAATGAGAAAACCAACTGAAGCAGTGTTTATGTCATCTCAGTTTGAGACCCTTTCTGGGTTGGCTTTGTGACAAAGTCTGAGGTTGCTGCTTACAGCACCGCTGTGTGAAACATGTCATAGGGCCCTTTTAAGAGATAGACACAAACAAGATGAAGGATCCATACCAAATCTTTACCTCACTGGCCTAAGCATAAACTAGGGGGGCAAAAAGTGACTCCAAGTGTGGCTGACCAAAACATTCCCCAAAATGATGAGAATCCTAGTCATCAAAATCTATCCATTATTTAAGTCTCTTGACCAACAAATAGAAGCAGGATCCTACTGAAGATTAAGACAGATCAGATGTTTCCTTTTTGGTTATCAATGTAGCCATGGAACATAAAAACTCTCCCTGGGAATTCTTTTATCCCCTCGCATCACTTGTTTTCTTCCAGATATGGTTTTGGTTAAGTGCCATTGAGTTGGTTGTGACCTTATACAGCATTTCCAAGGAGCGGCTGGTAAGCCTGAGCCACCCAACTCGTAGATAAGTGGACTTTGCAGTCCTGCCCATTAACTCACAGTGCCACACCAGGATTCCAGCTATGGTAGATTGTATTATTGCTACCAGTCCCTCCCCCTCCCAGGAGTCCCTGGCCACTGGTTCTGGGAATATTTTGTTATGCCCTAAAGCCCTGCAGTAAAGGCAAAGCAAGGTAAGATACCAAAAGCTAACACATCTCCATCCCTAGCTTATTGCTCCTTCTAAGCAAATCCCCACACAGCTCAGTGGGAGGCTGCAATCTTTCACTTGCCTGTGGATGTGCAAGGAGGAACACTCGAATGTCCAGGTGAATAAAGCAACTGACTCACTGCCCTCGGGCTTCACCTCTGTACTGAACTCTGCTTTCCATACCTTTTGAAAACACGACTTGCAAAATACTGTGAAGCAGTAATTCTGAAAACAAGACTCTGAGTGACAAATACTGTGTCAGGTGCCTGTATTAGGAATTTGGAAATGAGGTTAAAGTGTATACCTTTTTGGGGGGCTCATCAGGTGTGTCCATAGGAGTGATAGAGCCCTCCTCAGCCTCCGAGTGATTCGACTCGCAGGAAGACACGCTGACGGAGTCCATGCTTTCGCCGGAGCTCCCGCTGGCAGTGGACTTGGGCTGCTCTTTGGTGGGAGTGCTGCTGGTGATAATGTCTGAACCCAGAAACAGCCTGCAGAAACCAGAACACCAGGCGTGTGGGCTGTTACTAATCTGGAACCCACCATGAAATACTTCTGTGTTAAATCCTTAATGGTTTCTCAATCTCTTGGGCCTTGACATTATTTTAGGAAAACATTTGCTACAAAGTTATCTAAAACATGTTAGTAAACGTCTTATCCCAATAGGTTATTTCCAACCTCACCAGAACACAGAGTTTGCTTTGCTGAAAGAGGGAATGTTTCAGTCTGAGGTTTTCCTAGGTCAGTGGTTCTTCAATTTTTAACAGTCTATGGACCACTCTGGCACCATCAAAATAGCATCAGTGCTCCTATATTATTATCCCACCTGAAATTGACTTTCTGAGGCTCAGGAAGACTGGCACTGCTCTGAATGGGGAAGCAAAGAGCAAGACTTCTGTTTCCAACTCCAATAATCAGAACCCTTATACTATAAAACAACTAAATAAGTTACATTAAAAACTCCCTTTTAATGGTGAAGATACACGAGAGTAAGGGAAATACCTACGGGACAGAAACAAAACGGGAACTGAAAACCAGAAGCATGTGAGCTAATTCTGCAGCTGCTCTGGTTGGGTGGGGGCTAGGGGTGGGAGGTACCAGTCTTAGAGAATTAGGGAAATGGTTAACATGTATACATGAACCGAATGCTTCTGTTTATGGAAGGTGGGTAATTGGAAGGGAAGCCCCTTACAGAAAGCCAGGACTCTCAAAGGGCTGCATTCTTTTATCAAAGAGATGGGTCAGACAAATAGCAAGAAAGTACAGTCTCTTGATCTGACCTTTGTTGGTTCTGTTAAGTACTATGTAGAATTTCCAAGGAACAGCTGGTGGGCTTGAAGTGCCAACCTTGTGGTTCACAGTACAGTACTGATGCTACAGCACCACACTAGGAGTCCTGACCTTGGATGGAAGAAAAAGTATTTCCTAAAATAATGTGATGTGGTCTGTCTCACTGAGATGTGAGGTTTAATCCTATACAGGGTTGCTATGGGTCAGAACTGACGGGACGGTACTTAACAACATGGAGTCTAAGAACTCTCAGACCAGTGATACTGTGTGTCTAACACTTTTCAAAAAGAATTTTCAAAAAGATGAGGAGCTTTCTGGAGGGATATGCCTTCTTTTTAGGCTGCAGAGGATTCCTTGATAAAGATGATCTCACAATACAAACTTACAAAAAGCACACAAAGAAATATTCCAGAGAGTGAGAGAGAGAGAGTCAGCAGGCCTAACAGTAGGCTTAGAAGACTTCTGAGAACTTGAGACACAAGAACAATCAGAAAGAAGCTATATATAATAACTCATTCATTCGACCAAAATTTAAGTGCCTGCCATGGGTCAAGTTATAAAACAGGTGTGGTTACAAATAGTAAATACATTATGAGAAGAAATTGAAAACAAGGGTTAAAAGAAAGACTCTGAAAAACAGAGCAAAGATTAAAAACTCAGTTGTTCTTGTTGGTTCCTAATCGAATCAGTTCTAACTCAGTGATCCTGCATGGGGTTTCTGAGGAGCAACTAGTAAGTCTGAACCATCGACCTTATGGTTCAAACCGACCTTGCAGTCCAGTAAATTATCCTGCAACACTTTACTGTGGACAATACAAGAGGTTAAACGATGTGGTGAATGGAATGAACTTGTGTAACAGGAATTCCAGAACAAGAAAATGGAGAGAATCAACGAGAAAACTGAAGAGATGGTGACTCAAAGGATTCCAGAACTGATGATGTACATCAATACGCAAATCCAGGAACCACATCTGGAGTAGGAAAAACACAACCTTTCACTTGAACTGCAGAATGGTATGTCAAAGACAATACAAGTTCTAAGATACAACAGGGGCAGGGGTCATAATACAAACAAAGGAACAACAGCTGAGTGAAGACAACAGTAATTCCTGAAATCTAATATAATATTCTAACATAATATTAGAAAATTCTAATATAACTCCAAGAGTGAGGGCAAAATAATTAAGAGTTTCCGGGGCAGGCTGTGAGAGGGTTTAGCATTATCACATACACACTGGAAGAAGTTCTAAAAGGAAAGGAGGAGTAAGATGCAAGACAGAATGACAAAGAAGCTAGCAAATGTTAATTATGGTCAAGTTGGTTCAGACTCATAGCAACCCTGTAAGGATTTCAGAGGAGCACATGGTGGGTTTGAGCTGCTGACCTTGTGGTTAGCAGTCCAAGGCTAATCATAAACTGCCATTGATTGTCTTTAAAAAAAGTACTAGAAACCATGAGGATGTGCTTGACTGCTATAAACCCAAAGAACCCATTGTCAGCAAGTGGACTCCAACTCGCAGCCTCCAGAAGGTTCATAAATTCCCAATGCTCTACGATGCCTCCCTTAGCAGGCAGAGCGTCATGATGTCCCACATTGCTGGGCTCATCTATCAGGGAGCCTGACTCTTGCACATGTTGATGTTATCTGCTGACAGGGCTTGGTCAGGTGTTTTGGGGTATCTCAAAGGAGACTTCATTCTTCTCCATTCTGCAGAGATGAAAAGACAGCAAGATAACATGGGAAATGTTCTAGAGATGTGAATCCAAAGACTCATAAATCTAGTGCTCAGGAAGGGCAGGGCAGGCATGTGAACAAAGGGAGAAGTCTGACAAGAGATAACAGGATTACCTTCAAAATGCTTTCTACACAATCACACGTTCCCACCTAATCCTCAAATACTTCACAGGACCTGGTATCAGGTGAGCAGTATGAAGAACTTCTGATCTCATGAGCTCATGCCGTCCACAGCCCATAGAGCCTTTCATATTACATTGGGGTCATCCCTGCCTCTGTGCCTTGGTGAAACTCACTCAGGTAGGTGAGCGAGTGCTGGGAAGCAACAAATACCTAAAATACAACACTGAATTCTGAGGGGGAAAAAAGCCTCCAAAATATAGTAACAGATAATTAATTTGTTTCATAAAAAAATAGTAGTTGCCCATGAGGTGACATTATTAAATTCACTTCACACATGACAAAACAGAAGGCCTTGGCCCACTGTGCCATGAAGAAGCTGCCCAATACTCCTTAATCAAGTATCTGGCTTGTCCCAAGGCAAATTATGTCACTCAAAAGATCAGACACAAATGTCTTCTAAAGAGAAACAGACTAAATGAATCAATCAAATTATAGTCCTGGTATGGCACTGGAACACAAGATCAGTTTGAATTGTAAGGTCAGTGGCTCAAACCCACCAGCGGCTTGCTCCTTGGACACCCTATTCAGGGTTGCTGAGTTGGAACTGACTCCATGGTACTTAAGAACCCCGTGTATGACTAAGAGATGAACTTTGTGACACATCAGGCTCTCTCCAGGTTTCTTCCTCACTTCCCCGTCACCTTTTCTGCCTTCCTCTCCTCTCCCTCCCTTCTGTCCTCTTCTTTTCGTTTCCCATTGTGTCTTTCCCTCTCTTCTTTTGTGTCTTTCCCTCTCTTCTTTAAAGATGAACTATTTCTTCCAGAGATTATAAACTGGGCTTCAGAGCCAAATTTTGGGTTTGAATCCAGATCCTCCAATTATTTCCATATCATTAAACCTGTCTGTACCTCACTTTATTAGTCTATAAAATGGGTATAAAAGTAAAATCTCAAGTTATTTTGAGAACTGAATGATAAATACATGTATTATTTTTAGTATAGTCCAGGTACATGGTAGATAATTTATTAAGTACTGACTGAATAATTAATCACCTACTATGTGTCTGGCTTTGTTATAGATTCTGGGCTACCACAATGAACACAAAACAGGCACAACTTCCTGCCTCCATTGAGTCTTCATTCTAGATAACGCACAGACAGATACAATACACATGAAGGTCAAGACTATGAAGAAATTCGAAGCAGGAGAGGGTGAGAGGGCAGGCAAGGTAGGCAGGGTCAGGGAAGGCTCCCTCAGAAGGTGACATTTTAGCAAAGCTCTGAAGAAAGTGAGGCAGTGAGTTAGATGCGTAACTGGGGAGGAAAAACAGCAAATACAAGTGCCCAGTATGAGGGGCCTTCAAAAAAGTTTGTGGAAAAATGGAATTAAGATATAATGGAGAGAGAACAAACAAGATGGCAGATCCGGTGGACGTGTATTAAAGAGCTCCACCAACAACACCGGATACCCGACCAAGCAGGCTCAGGGGCCAGGACACTCGGCTGCTCCAGGAGCCACCATCTTGGGTGACACCACGTGGGGGAAGGATCAAAGTGATCACGGATGCCTGGCAGAACCGCTGAGATAAAGTTGTGGATATTCTCTTCTTTTGGTATCTGTTCATTGGTCCCTTGCTGTCTGTGTACCTCTATTCTGGTGACTATAGGGGTTCTTGAGCTACTGGGCACCCCTGCCCCACCCTCAGAGGGTTCTACACTACGCAAGCACACAGATCTCCTAGAAATTTAAAGAGACAGTTTCCTATTAAAACCAAATGGCCACAGCCGGCCCTGAACTGTTTCCAACTAGAAAAAAGACCTGAACGGGGATTGTGGAGCGGGACAAGCAGACAAAAGAGGAAATAGGCCCAAAAATTAAATCCTAAGTTACATCAAAACGACCAACAGTGATACCTTGAAACATCTCAAGAAGAAGAGTGAAAAAAGGTAAGCCCATTTCCTGATCACATCTACCTGGAGGCATTCAGAAAGCATAAAAACCCCTGAACCCAGAAATGAGATAAAGTGACTGAGGCAAATGAGGTGGAAGGAGACCTACACTCTATACTGGATGATGGGCAGGCTTTGGAAATGCCTGAGAAGGAATTCCTAAAAATGAGCATAAAAGGCATCAAACAATGCAGTTGGAGAAAAATAAGGAAGAAGTCAGGAAAGTGCTACAGGAACAATCAAATAAGATAGATACAGCATTGGAAACAATTCAAAACCTACAGAAAGAGGTCCAAATGATTAATAACAGAATGTCAGAAATGGACAATACATTGAAAGGACAAAGGAATAGAATTGAAGAGATAGAAGCTAGAACTAATGAGCTAGAAGATAAATTTCTCAACACTACTAAGATAGAAGAAAAAAAAAGGATAAAAAAAATAAGAAGGCCTAAGATTCATGTTGGATAACATGAAGAGGAATAACATAAGAATTATTGGCATTCCAGAATAGGAACAATCACACAAGCCCACAGAGGACATAGTTGAAGAGCTTCTGGAAGAAAAATTTCCTAACATCATGAAAAGTGAAAAGATAAGCATTCAAGAAGCTCAACGAACCCCAAGATAGATAGACCCTAAAAGACAATCACCAAAACATATAATAAAGATAAAGACAGCATCTTAAAAGCAGCTAGGGAAAAGAGAAAGAGAACATACAAAGGCAAGCAAATCAGATTAAGTTCAGATTTCTCAACAGAAACCATGCAGGCAAGAAGGCAATGGGGAGAGATATATAAAACCCTGAAAGAAAAAAAACTTCCACTACCCAGCAAAGCTGTCAATCAAATACGATGGTGTAATCAAAACATTCCAGGATAGGCAGAAGCTAAGGGGCCAAAGTCAACCCTGCTATGAAAAACATCCTAAAGGAAGTTCTGTGGACTGAGAACCAGCAAGAACACACAACAACTACAGAATGATGTACACAGGAGCATTAACCTGAACTTAGTCAACAAATTAAAGAGTCAAGCACAGAATAAAATTATAAGAACAGAGGATCTGGGAGTTCAGCCTATGAATCAAAACAAAAAAAAGGTAAACTCAGAAGAACAGAGATCCAGGTGGTGGGAAAGTCAGGTAGATAACTGGATAAAATAGACTATCTTATGGAGGGAAGAACTAATGGAATATAAGGTAACCACAATGGGGTTGGGGTGGGGGTAGGGGTTTATTTTGGGTGTTGGGGAGGGCAATACAAGAAGGGGGGAGGAGACAGAAGAACAAGATAGACAGGGGAACACTGAGACAGGTTTGCATGGCCTAGTGAGACAGAGGTAACTAGTGATGCATACTCAACCTTGGAACAACAGGGTTCTAGGTATAGCTTGAAGAGGGTAAATAATACTAAAATCCTTGACTGCCTTATGAATATTAGTTTCCCTTGCCTACTATTATAAAATAGACACTAGAGTGGGATAGAAAGCAATGTTGGGAAACAAGATTAGAGAAAACTTGTAAGCTCACTTTCAGCCTATAACTGACTGGAATACCTAAAAGGGGTTCTACAACTTGCCCAGTGAAATAGGCCTTGTACAAAGCCTTCACAGAGTATAGGACCTTAGGTAAAATCCTGAATCCCATCCACAACCTTGTGAGGTGAGACATTCCCACTAGAAAGGATAAGCAGACTGGAACAGGCATAATGACAGAAGATACAGCTTCATGATGAACCTAACCTATAATCAGAGTGGTAGTTACTCTAAGTACCAACAGAGAGGGAAAGAGTCTTCATGTATCAATGCTATCCACTTTGTGCACAGGGTAGCTAAGGCACGAAGTGACTGGCTTACAAGGTTTCAAGAGGGAGCTTAGTTTAAGAGTGTGGGGGGAAAGAAAGAGTCCCCACTGAATAGCTGTCATCTTGTCTAGATGCGTCTGGTGAAAGGAGGTAGAAGTTTTATAACAAAAAAAAGGGGAATGGTTGATCTTACAGTCCAGAAATGGAGGACCCTGGGACCATCAAGAGAGGAATGCACAAATAGAATGCGGGATCTTATCTAGAGAAGCAGCAGTGCCAGAGATGGGGACATGGAGAGGGGGCGTGGCTGAGGACTCCAGATTCATCAACTAAGAAGAGAAGGACTGAGAACTGGTGGCCAGGAGCAGACTTGCAGAATGTGCTGTTCAGAAATGTAAATTATTATATATGCCTAAGTGTGAAACTCATGATGTGCCCTGTAAACTTTCACTCAATCCACAATAAAAACTTCAAATGTGTGATCCGGGTGGCTGGAGTGGAATGAGAAGAGTGAGCAGGTATTAGGGGGCTACAGGGGTAATGGCACAGATCCTAGAGGGCCTTGTGCTCCTTTGTAAGGGAGATGGGTATTATGTTAGCTACTGTGGCCCTCTCGCGTGCCAGGCACTGAGCAAAATGCTCCTACTGCTCTCAGCTAGCTTACATTCCACTAGGAAAAACTGTCAATGTGACTGATCGTTACCGGGGTAGACGGCAACATTACAGAAGGTGATCTTGCAGCTGGTAACATTTTTGCCTTTATATGAAGGAGCTAGTCATAGACAGAGCATATCAGCTGCTGGGAACATGCAGAGGCCCTGAAATAGACATATGTCTGGCATGGCCTGTAGGGTGGCTACAGGATGGTGTGGAAGACCTTAGTGAGCATCAGTGAGGAAGATGGTCAGAAAGGAGGGGTGATTATATATATGGCCCAGGAAAGTAGGATAAAGACTTTGGGTTTATCTTAAAATAAAACCATTGGAGGTTTTTAAACAAGCGTCATAATATGGTGCCTATTTTAAAGGTCACCTTGGCTACTCATTTGAGAACGCAGGGCACAAGATGGGGGAAGGGTCTTGTTGCAGTGGTCCACGCAGGAAATGAGGGTGACTATTTATCAGGTAAGCTAACTATATTGTTCATTTCTGTCCTGGCTCAGGAGGATGCTGTTGAAGACCTTTCCTCCCCCATCTGGCTGGGCCTTCCTGGGGCTCCAGGATCCCAGGAAATACTCACAGGCTCAGCCTCTTCACCATGCTCTTCCGAGGCTTGGGCGAGGTGGTACTGGTGTCGGCGGCTGCTTCAATCTCACACGAGAGGGCATAGCTAGAGAAGAGATACAAACTTACATGGTTTACTTATGCTTTGGAAGAAAGCTCTGATTATTCAAAGTGCAGATATATCCTTTGAGTTCTATCGCAAATGTACAGACGTATGTGCCTCCTCTCCTCACCACTGGTACCTTGATTACGGCTATGCAGCTCTGGCTGTCTCAAACACAGGATTTGTACACTTAGGTAGCATCTGAATCTGACTCCATTCTGGTTTTTGCTCATTCTCATCCTACTGCTAAGCCAGGGAAAGAATGATTTCTCCTCTATTGCTTCCCTACTACTTACTATGTGTGCACATGTGCTTCCATGTGTGTGCAGACATCATACACACCTTTATTTTCATCCGAGGGAAATTCAGGAAAGAAGTTTTCTGTAAACTACTAAGCCTTCAGTGAACAGAATTAAAATCTCCTAGCTAAAAGGGTTGCAGAGGCAGACATCTATCTGCTGGGCCCAAACACAAGAGGAATTTACATCTGATCTAAAATATCTTTTATGAAAGCCTGTGGTTCTAGTCAATAGTTCTAGTTGGTTCCTGGGTAGGCAGAAAGGGTGCATGTGGCCAATATTAACTCAGTAAAGTCACTAATTATGCGTGTGTGTGTGGTTTTTTTTTTTTTTTTTAAAAAACACCTAAAGACTATCCAGGTATTTGCTCAATAAAAAGTATTCACTGACATGGTGGTTAATGAAATGCTATAATGTAGGCTGTAGGAGTTTTCATAAATAGCAAGGATTTTAAAAAAGCATGTTGAACAAAATTCCTTCGAACATTACAAAGTCAGTTAGAGAACTAGATCTTCTAAAGCCTGAATGTTCTGACCTAAATCGTATGTCAGGATATATATGTTCCATACGTGAAAATGACAGATATAAAAGATAAAGTTAATTTATAAAAACTGTCCGTTAACACTGGGAAATGTGAAAAAAGGCCAGCACTGTTTATCTTCTCGGCACTAACTAAAGAAAATGCGAGTCAGAAACCCTCTGCAGCATTGCTATGAGTCAGAACCTACTGGGTGGCACTTAGCAGTTACAACTAAGGAAACGTGTGAACGAGAGATTTTGTTTCAACGTAGTAGGACCAAACCACTCTGGAACTAAAAAGAATCTGCGAAACCATCTGTTTCCAAATGAAAACTGAGGCTCACAGAGGATCTATGGTTTGCCTGGCATTACAAAACCAACTTTGCAAGCTTACTTTGTAGAGTAAGGCAGATCTGAATTTGAATCTAAACTCTTGTCACTTGCTAGTGATAATACTCTTCTAGAACTTAGTTTCCTCAATACTCTTCTAGAACTTAGTTTCCTCAATAGCAAAATGCTTATTTTCCTGTCACTTTCACTCTCCCTGGTGATACAATGTAAAGGAAATCCCCTGGTCTGCAGCAGGGATTGCCAAACTTTGTAAAGCACCAGACAGTAAAAATAATTTAGGCTTTCAGGCCATATGGTCTGTGTTGCAACCACTCAACTCTTTATAAAAGTGTGACAGCAGCCACAGACAAGACTGAGATGAGCGAACTGTGTTCCAATAGAAATTTATTTATGGGCAATCAAATTTGAATTTCAAATAATTGTCCCGTCATTAAATATAAATCTCCTTTTGATTTGTTTTCAACCATTTAAAAATGCGAAAATGGCCAGGGCCAGATGTAGTCCAGTCCTTTAACACTGGAGTACAGGATAAAGACTGAATCCCAGCTGAGCCAACATTCAAGGCCCTTTTCTACGCCCAACACCCACTAGTTTCTTGCCCTCTTTGTCCCAGCCAGTCCAGGCCTCTCACTGTATCCCACAAATCCATGCATCATCATCAGGGCACTAGGCCTTTGCTTATGTTTTTCCCTCTGTCTAGAGTGTTCTTCAGATCTCCTCCTGGCAAAATATGATCCCTTCTTCACAGCCCAGGCCAAATATTAACTCCTTGAAGATATTTATGACTTTTCTCTCTCTCCCACTTCCCCACGCTTGGTCAAATGAACTGCTCCTGTTCTATAAGTTCTATACCACCCTTTAGTTACCCATCCCCTCCCTTTGCATACTTCCTGAATCTGTCCCTCCCTGAAAGCTAGCACCAATTAACCACTGTGACAAAAACGGTGGTGGCGGTGATTAGGATTAGAAGGGGGCATATTATTTAATTCTCACAAACGTTTATAGGTGAACCTTGTGACGAGTGGAAAGAATAAATGACAGGTTCCAAGTTACAAAGATAAGTAAATGGCAAGGCAAGGATCGGAGAACAGAGCTCCCATGCCATGAATTCGGCTCTTCCTGTTACACCATGCTGCTGCAGAGATGGAGGGCACCGAACCTAGCAGCTGCTCTCTATATATCCGTGAGAGCCAGAATCCAAGGGACTGCTCGCTTTGTTGTTCTAGGCCTTGGAAGTCTTTTGCCTTTTGACAGGGCACAGCCGTAACACTTTCCTACTGCTCATTTTAGTGGAGAATATTTGAGTGTCCCTTCTCTGATAGGTATCCACTATAAACAAATTCTGGCCTTCATGGGTTTTACTGTAGCTGTTCAATTCATGACACCTACACCTCTGTTCTACCCTGTTGGGCAATATGTTAGCTTACCTCTCCTCCTCTGTCAGGAGCTGCTGTCTCTGGAACCACTGGATGAACTTTGGGTCTGGGGTCATACAATAGCTGTTGCAGGCAGACTGTAATAGCTTTATCTGGGCAATCACTTCAAATTCCTAAAGCAGACAACACCAAAAGGAAGGAGTGAAAAATAAGACCAAACAAATACAGATATTTTTCACTGTACAAACATACCACAGCAGGACAAATGAGGGTGAAAACCATCGAGGATGGCTTTGAAGCATTGCTTCCTTAGAAATGACATAGATGAATAACTGAAAAATCCCAACTCTGAATCTCTAAAGTCCTCATGTTGTTGGTGTTGTTATTGTTAGGTGCTGTAGAGTTGGTTCCAACTCATAGCTGTGTAGGGTTTCTGAGGAGCGACGGGTGAGCTTGAACCAACGACCTTGCAGTTGAGACCAACCTTACAGTCCAGTGCATTATTATCCCATAGCACCACACCTAAAGTCCTCATATACCCGAGTAACTGTCAATCCTTTCTTCTTGAGTAAGAGTTTATGTGAAAAAAAGAAATTACCCAAGCAACTCAAAGTATCACTTTTAGCTCATAATGTCTTCCTTTTCTTTGTTTTTTCTATTTTCATTTTTGGGATAGAAATGCTATTTTTTGAGGATGAGTATTTCCTAAAGGAATCCTGGTGTGGTGCTGTGGGCTAATGCGTCACACTGTAAAATTGTTTAAACTTCAAGGTTGGTGGGTCAAGCTCACCAGCTTCTCCTTGGAAATCCTATACAGATTTCCTAAAAGATAATGGAAAAAATGCTGTATGTCATGGAGTTTCCAAGCTCCTCACAATTTTGCACCTACTCCCCACCCCTCCATCTTCAATTCTTACCCTTAACAAATAAGTTTTGGTAGGGTTCAGTATCTAAATAATTCAGGACCTCATAAACTTCAATGTTTACATTTCCTAGATGCTTGGAGTTTTACTATTCCAGTAAATCACTGAACTAAGTCTTAAAGCTCACAAAAGAACCAAATATTTAATTATGTCCAAAATTAAACGATCAACACTCAAACTTTCCAAAAGCTTTAAAGCCTAGCTTAAAAGGAAAGAGATGACTATCAAGGGTTGTTCTGAAGCCAAAGGACAAAGATGGGTAACCGTGAGAGGTGACTGTAGGACATGACCTCGGCTCTTGGTCTCAGGATCCTCAAAGAACATTTATCATCATGCTAAAGAACACATATTCTATCAGGGTCATAAGACTTCCGTTTGTCCAGGTTAATACCTTATTCAAATGATCTGGTGAACTCTTACAGGACCTTTTGGTTTTAATGGCAATGTAATTGCCTCCAGGAAGTTTCTTTGACCCCACAAGTTGGAAGAGATATCCTTCCAGTGTTCTCCTGTGATACTCACTAGTTCTAGTCACAAGCCTTTATCAGGACAGATTATAATTGACCCTTTACTTGTTTACCTTCCTCTGGACTGTGATTTTATGAGGGCAGGGAGCTCTGCTTTGTTTGTTATAATCTTTAAACCTGGCCCATGTTAGGTATGCAATCAATGTTTTTGAAAGAAAAACGAATGAATGAATGAATAAAGAACACCAGGAAAACTATGGAATTCAGAACTGTTTGACCATCAACAGAGAAATTCAAACTGATATTGAACATCCCTATGCTGATAGGAAAGAGGATAAAAATCACCCACATGTCATAGTTAAGAATGACACCCTGGAGACTCAGTGGTTAAGCTCTCAGCTAACTGAAAGATCAGCAAACTCAGCAGCAGTTCTACTTTGTCCCAGATGATGGCTATGAGTCAGAATTGACATGCCAGTAAGGGCTTTTGGGTTTGGTTGAATAAAGATAATTTCCTTTCCTTCTCAAGAAGACCCTTAAAAATTAATCTTTATTTACTCTTCAATGTCACTTGCTATTAAATAAATTCTACTTTCCTTAACAGGGTTAATCTGTTATTGCTGAAACTAACTGTGAAGGAGCAGATGGGGAGCAATAAAATTGGTTCTGGGGTGGGGTAAAACTGGCTTTACCAGGAAGCCTAGTCAAATTACTTAATCTCATTAAAAACCCCCGATTTCTCTACCTTTGAATTGAGGACAATAACCTACCCTCACATATTCTTGGGAGACAGTATGTAAGAACAGGCCAAATACAATGATATATAATTAATAAATGCTAACTTGTTTTTCTTTCTCCACACACACACACACACACACAGTTACATTCCTACTCTTTCATTTTCTTCATGCCAGATAAAGTAAAATAGAAAACAGCCAAGGCCTCTACTTACCCTTCTTCTTTTCTCAAAGTTTATCAGGCCACCCTGAAAGGGAGAAGGAAAAAAAAATGTGACCAAGAAATGAATTTGAAACGCAGTCCTATGTTATTCCTGTTGTAAGCGTTATCCAGTCAGTTCCAACTCACAGACACCCTGTATAGGGTTTCTAAGGAGTCACTGGTAAGTCTGAACCACTGATCTTGTGGTTAAAACTGACCTTGTGGTCCAGAGATTTATCCCATAGTACCATAACAATGAAAACATAATGCATATGCATAATTAATAATGTTGTTAAGTGCCATTGAGTTGGTTCTGACCCATAGTGACCCTGTGTAGGGTTTCTGAAGAGCAACTGAAGCTTGAACCACAGATGTTATGGTTCAAACCAACTTTGCAGTCCATTTGCTTTAACCCACAGTGCCACACAGGAACGCTAGATCACATTAAAATACATCAAAGACATGATAACTATAATTCAGGCTGCTATGGACGAAGAGAAGCATCTTTTGCTTCAAACAGAATAGATATTCTATTAATTATAAAGGGGGAGGATAGGCAGATTGCCTTATCTCAAAATATTTGAAACCAACTAAAATAGTAATAATAAAAAAGTTCTAGATCAGAATCCAATTACTATCACCCAGTAAAAGTTCAAGAAAATATTCCATTACACTTTTTTTCTTGATCCAAAGCAACAAAAACAGATGGTCATTGACTCATTCATTTTGGAAACCAAATTGTCAATGGTTTATAAAAAAGGAACTCACTTCTACATAGCATCATGAGAAGTTTCAATTCTTCATCCCTCCTCCCCCCACCAGCTCCTATTCTCTGTAGGCCGAATTTAGCTTCTAAGTCATTAGTTACTCAGAAAAATTCCCCATCACTGGTAAGTGTTTCCTGAGATAAACTGAGGCAGAGGATGTGAACAGAAGTAAAACTCAGGAAATGTAAAATGAATGGCCACACCCATGCTAAACTTGAAGGTCATCATATGCTAACTAACTGCTATGTCTTTTATTTGTTGTTGTTGTGAAGTGCCATCCAGTCTGTTCCGACCCTGTGTAGGGTTTCTGAGTCTGTAGATCTTTGCGGAGGCCGAAAGCCTCATCTTTCCCACGCTCATTTTATTTTGATAGAGTAAAAGCAGGTTGATTGCATGTGAAAACCAAGCAGGTGGATGAACTTTAATTTACAAGCAATCCTTATGCCTCAACTTAAATTTAAAATTTTTTTCTACTTAATGTTTCACTGTGGGTTAATGCGCTGGACTGTAGTCAGTTTGAATCCAAGGTTGGTGGTTCAAGCTCACTATTCCTAGGTAACCCTAGACAGGGTCACTAGGGGTCAGGACAGACTCAATGACACTTAGTAACAATGTGTGGTGCTGTGGGATAAGTCACTGGACCACAAGGTTGGTTTGAACCACAAAGTCGGTAGTTCAAACCCTATGCAAGGTGGCTATGCATCGTGACTGGACAGCACTTAACAACTCTCGTAGCTTGTTTGATAGGGTTTCACCTCATTCCTCATTCCCGGGAAAACAGACATAGGAAGACCGGGAGAACAGAAAGGCGAGAAGAAAGAACAAGTAACAGCATGAAAAAAGGATACCTAAAGCAAAGATAAGCCATAAATGTGACTCAGTCCCTAGCACAGCAAGTACAGGGTTAAGGGTATCTTATCCCCTTCAACGCCACCTGCTAAAGTCCTACTCAACATCAAAGTCTTGCTCAAACCCAGTTCTTCACAGTGTCTTTTCATCACGGGAGCCTCATGTGCAGTTACATGAACTGACTTTCCTGTGAGTCTTTTAAACATTTATTTAAATATTTGTTGTGAGATGCTGCTGAACTAGTTCTGATTCATAGTGACCCCATGTACAACCAAATGAAGCATTGCCTCATCTCCTGCCAGCCTCGCAATTGTTTATGGGTTTGAACCCACTGTAGCAGCACTATGTCAACCCATCTCCTTGAGGGTCTTAGCATACCACTTTAACCCTCCCCTGCTTTCTCACTGCATTTCGATTTGAATTTTGCTATACAATACTGCCTACTTTAATATAAACGAGTTCTGGTAGCGTAGTGGTTACAAATCGGGCTGCGAACTACAAGGTCAGCAGTTCGAAACTACCAGCTGTTCCGTGGGAGAAAGATGAGGCTTTCTGTTCCTGTCAAGATTTATAGCCTCGGAAACCCTGTACAGGGTCACTATGGGTGGGAATCGATTAGACAGCACTTAATAACAACAACTTTAATATATACCTTCCACTGGGTTCTGACCCACTTCTGGTGTTATTCACCTTTGTCTTCCTCAGTGAGCACTCAATAGATGCTAATGAAATAGAATTTTCTCACAGACTGCACGGAGCTTACCTCTATGTAGTCCTGCAGAGCTGTATCCAGCATGGTCAGGTCAGTGAGGAAGGTGCCCAGGTAAGGCACAGTTCCCTGCATCACACCCTGAAGAGCAAACACAGAAAAGTGTCTTTATTGTTATTGAAAAGTGTAAGAATTTCAGGAAACTCCACACCGGAGCCGTCTACTCTGAGCTGATTGCAGATGGTAGCAGCAGTCTTTGAATCTTTAAATCATCAAGTTGGCCTTGACAAATTTGGAGAATAAGTAAGGGTCATTTAGAGCCTAATATAAAGCCATTAGGGCTAACCACCTCAAATGAAAAATTTTAAACTTCTATGCATTTAAGATGGAGTCCTGGTGTGGCGCTGTGGGTTAATGCGCTGTACTGCAAAAAGCCAGTTTGAACAGCAATGTTGGCGTGTCCAGCTCACCAGAAGCTCTCTGTGGGTCAGCACAACAATAATGCAAATAAGACAGGAACGCCATCATCGAATGACCAACAAAGACTCACAGTCAAGAGATCTTACAAGTATGGTCAAGTGTGACCACGGTTGGGTTTCTATTGTGCGTACGTCTCAGGCTTGGGGCAGATGTTGTTCTCCTTCAGAATGTACGGACACTCTCTGGATGGCCCTGGATAGCAATGTCCTCCTCACCATTTGTACAAGAGTGTGCTGTTACCCAATGGAAGACAAGTATGTATCCCCAGAGTACAAGGAACCACTATTTAAGCAGTCCTTTGGGTAGGACGTAATGACTCACTTCATAAGAATAGCAGAGGAGAAGAGAAACATAGTAACTTTACAGTGAATACCCTGGCAAACTCCACCTTAACCAAGTGATGAAGGATAATATCAGCGCTGATACCAGAAGGTCGTGATGGTTACTATCATGCATGCCCTCTGATATCCTTACCCTGAACTCATAACCTGAGTTCACTAACTAGAAAAACAATAGACAAACCCAGATTGGGGGATCTTCTACAGGATGTCTAAGACAGGACTCCTCAAGACTGTCAAACTCATAACAACAAAAAAAGGAAAGACTTAGAAACTACCACAAACACAATGGTAGACCAGAAACATGCTCCTACTCCACAGGACATTGGAGAGAAAGAGTGACTAAGTGCTGTTGGTACACTGGATGGGATCCTGGGATAGAAAAAGGATGTTGTAGTTACTGTTAAGAGCCGTTGAGTTGTTCTGACCCATAGCGACCCTGTATAGGGTTCTGAGGAACGGATGGTGAGCCTGAACTGCAGACCCTACCATTCAAACCAGCTTTGCAATAGTGGAAAACTGCTGAAATCCAAATAAAGTCTGGTTTTTATGTTAACTGAATTATACCAGTGTCAGTTTCTTAGCATTGACAGATGCGCCATGGTTATGTAAGATGTAAAAAATGGGGAAACAAGTGAACAGCTTACAGAAACTCTATGGACCGTCTCTGCAGCCCCAAATTATTTCAAAATAAAAAATGCATTATATAAAGAAAAAAAAAAAAAAAAAAGGCCCCTGAGACACAGAGATGGAGAGACTTCAACCCACAACTGTGGATATGTACTAATGTACTATACTATATCCAATTCCTCAAATTGCCTTTGAACTTGTCATTATTCTCAAGAAGGCCATAAAGTTACTAAGCATTCTGAAGGGCAGATAAAAGGAAACAGCTCTCATGGGAATGTTCTTCTCAATTTCATCAAGGCATTTAAGAAATGATAGCAAGAAAGCAAAGTCTCCACTGGGACCAAGCCGAGGGCAGCCTGAATTGAGGCTGACTGGCTGCTTGCGCAGAAATACTTTGTGAGGTTCACGCCACTGAGCAATGTGTCCTTCAGGAACCTGCTGACATATAGTCCGACCTTCCTCACTACATGCACAAGGTGTCATCCCAAACAAAAAGAATCTATTTTGTTCTAAGAGCTATTTTTAACTTGTCTTTGAACAACCAAAAAGAAGTCTGACACTAGAGAATGCTTCATAGACTTAATCACAGAAGAGCCCTATCATTCAAAAACAAGGCTTATGATTTACGCCTAGCTTGCCAAAGGAGGAGAAAATCCTCCTCAAATCACCAAGCCAAGATGACAATATTTAGACTCTAGACTGATGGGCTCTAATTTCCTTCCTCTGGTTTTCCCCACTCCCACCCCCCATACTAAAAGCTAGGAGAGTTTAAAATAAAGCTAAAAATGGCAATAACTCTTTTTATTTATTTATTTATTTATTTAGTGCTAAGGAGCATGTATGTTTATAGAGTTCCAAGTGCTCCTTGTGAAGCACTGGTGTGATGCTGTGGATTATAGCACAGGATCACAAGGTCAGTATGAACCATAAGGTCGGTGGTTCAAATTTACCAGCCACCCTTTGGGAACCCTTTAAAGAGTTGTTTTGAGTCGGAACTGACTCGATGGCACTTAACAACAACAAAGTGCCCCTTGGAATATTGAGAAATGAAGAATTGATTCATTTTCCAGTTTTGAAAGAAAAGCTGGAAAATAACTAGAGGGTCCAGAATAAAGAATACAAATTTGAGGACAAAGACCAGATCCTGGGCCACTATGTACCCAAAGCTGACTGTGCTAGGCTTTTGTCTGCACTGTCAGCAGACGGAAGTCCAGGAGGTGGTTGTGGCTTCTAAGCGTGGGCACGGGGGAAAAAGCAAAAAAGATCAGAAATCTACCCACCGCTGTGCTTCCCTTGCCTCGAGGAAAAAAATGCCCAGAAAACAACACAATTTGCAAATGCTCAAGGTTTATTTCCTACTTAGTCAAGCAGAGATAATACCATCTTTGTTACTGACCTCCCAGGGCAGCTGAGAACAAACCATGGAAAGAATGAGAGAACTTTCTGGAAAGCCTGAAAGCCCCTGCTGATGGAAGGTGCTGGTGCCAGGAAGGTGCTCTTAGGAAAGCACGACTGTACATACCATGTCTTTCTGGAGCTGAAGTCGCCTCTGAGTCCGCTTCTGGTTTTCTTTCACATTGCTGTCTAGGTTTGCAAATTTGGAGGTTCCTTCCTAAGAAACACAAGCAAACAATAGAAGTGTGAAGGAGGTGAACACCAGAGAGAAGTGAAGCACACTGTTGGCAATTCATGTAAAAAAACCCAGATATCTAACTAATATACACATCACCATAACTATACTGAGAAAACGCAGCCAGATTCCCCCCAAAATGCACACCATAGTACACCATGTACAGAAAACTCTGCTTTGGCAGTGCTTTCCTGAGATAGAGGTGGGCAGCTGGGGGCTACGGAATAAGGAAGAGTTTACAAAGGGGCATTAGGAAATGTTTGCAAATCACTGATCTGTTCAGCATCTTGGTTATGGTATCACTGGTCAAATGTTTTCAAATTGTGTACTTTAACTATCAAGGGGCTTCAAAAAGTTTGTGGGGAAAATGGTGTTAAAAGATAACAGAACTTTCTGAAGTCCACATGTGGAATGTGCAATGTGTTGAATGTTAATCATACTGCAAGAAAACTTTTTCTACAAGGGAAGAAAAATTAGGTCTCCAGTAAGTTCTCTGGACTACATTATGCAATTGTGTAAATGTTGGAATGCTTGGCCCGTGTGTCACAAGTGGGCTACTTTTAATGATGCCTGATGGTTAGATTATCCTAGTTCCCCCAGGTCTTGTAAAAAAGAGTCCTTTAAGATTATAACCAATGAAATGAAACGATGGTGTAAAGCCGATGTTCTCCCATGTAAACTATCACTCAGTTCACAATAAAAATAATAATGCAACTACAAAAAAAAAAGTCCTCGATTTAATTATAAAATTAATCCTCAATACAAGGCAGGCAATTCCAAGATCTAGGGTAATGTAATTTCTGCACATCCCAAATTCCATTGCGTCATCATGTGTCCTAGAAACGAGGATTCCTTCATCTGTGTGTTTTGTCATTTCTTGATCTTGGCCTGAAATGGATATGCCAGTGTTCTTCTATGAAAGGAGAATGACACTTTCTGTGGTATTTCTTGTCTAATTGATACTTTTGTTCCAGAAGTTTCTAAGAAATTCAGAATCATGAACGCCAATCCATGAAAGCCAGATCCTTCATTCATTCCTTCCCACTTCCCCCCTCCCCCCACCCCTGTCCTCCCAAGTGGCCTCTCAGGTTTAGAACTCTGACAAATCAATCCTTCCTTCTGGTGCCCGAGGACAGATGGCTGCCCTTTCTTCTCTCCTTTCTCCTGTAACTATCAACTCTCCTACACAATGACTAATCTTGAGTTTGCTGACTGAACATGAACTGTTTTCAGTTTTGTGGTTTCCGAGTCAAGTTCTCATTTTCCAGAAACTATATGAATGGGAGGCAATTTCACAATTCATTAGTGTTTAACTTCTGACGCCTGATCCTGTATTTGTTTTTCCTTAGTCAGTTTCTCCACATCTGTTATATTACACCAGCATGTGCCCTTCAGCTACTGTACAACCTCAAGGGTTGTTTTGTTTTCTTTCATTGCCTTTGTCTTGGTAATGGTGGGGAGGCATTAACATAGTTCAGATTCTACAATGACTTATTATCTTTGTTAATGCTCCTTACTAAAAGTGATAAGGAGAGTTACTAATAAATGATCTCCTACTTCAAATATTCCCCTGAGGGCAAATCAAAGTGGCCTAAGGTGTGCCATTTCCTGTTTGGTGGTTGAGAATGCTTCCCAACTTCTTGACGATTTGCTTGGAGTCACTGATGTTAGACTTGAATGTGAGTGGCAATCTCTTTCCATTATGCAGGTCATTCTGGTCTCCTTTTTTATCCACAGAGATATTACTATGTATGGAGATTATTGTTGACACACTGAAAATTATTAGTAAGAATTTCTGGAAAGTCTAAAGGCTCACATGAAGCCCCAAATAACAGAGATAGGAGGGATCCTTGCTGTTAGGAGCGAGACAAAGACTAGAGGGAACAAGTTAAAAGATTTCTTAATTTCATGAGTTCAGTAGCATATGAGGATTCTATCCCTAGCTAAAATAGTAGAGAGACTGAGTGTCAACTAAGGATCCACGATCCACTTATTTGTCCATTCAATGACTTCAGGGCTTTCCATCCTCAGCTCTAAGTAGTATCTCACATCAATCTTTGGGAACTTTCCACAGCTTTCTAAGACTACATCACTCTGGTGGTCTTCTGATGCCTCCTTTGCTGTTCATACTCCCTTTCTCTTAGTAACTCCTTTGCTTTTTATCTTCATCATCTTCTTGTTCTTGTCGTGTATTTGGAAATATTATCCAATCCCATGGTATCAGTCCCTCCTGCCCTCCCTATCTCTTTGTACTCTCCCACTCCCCTTCTGTCTCTCTTCCACTGTCCTCCTCTTTCATGCAAGCCTTTCACCTTCTAACTCCACCTTTAGGGACATTCAGCTGTTCTCATCCATTCAGTTTCTGGGTCTCAGAGGAGGCTTCTTTCAGGGTGCTACACAGGCAATGGATCCTTCGCAATAAACCGATGTGTTAAATAACAGCTCAGAAGCTAATGATCATTTCTATTTAAATAGATCTTCACAATTTTTTAACAATCTCCTGAATCAAACAGTGCTTCTGGCGTCTGAATGTTTACTCCAACTTTGACTTCAGCATTTTTGGGAGCTTCACTGGACAAGCATTTCCACTACAGTCAAATTTCTGGTCCTTCCTAGAGGTTGTTTATATTCATCCAACCAGGGAAAAGTCTCAACAAACATCACAAGAACCAGGTAGATCTGATGGTGGTTTGCTGTCCAGTTATTTTAAAATTTGTGGACACCTGTTTAAACTATGTAAGTTTCATAAATGATGAAGTAACAGATTACTCAAACAGTAATCTTTAAGAAGAAATAAAAACAGTTTCTTCAACAATTATAAGGAAAATCACAGATTTTTGCTAATTGTTGTGTTGCCTTGGCCATAGTGTTACAGAGTGATACATACATACTTGGCGCTGGAGGATATGCACTGGACTACTAACTACAAGTTCAGCAGTTCAAAATGACCAGTCACTCCTCAGAAACCCTAAATACACAGGGTCACTATGAGCTGGAACCAACTCGACGGCACACAAAAACAACAACATAAGTAAATAAGGATGCATCATTTAAGACAAAGCATAACTGTTGTCATTGTTTGCTGTTGAGTCACTTACAACTCATACCAACCCTAAATAGGGTTTCCAAGAAGCAGCTGGTGGATTTGAACTGCCAACCTTGAGGTTAACAGTCAAATGCTTATCCTTGAGTGCCACACCAAGACTCTACCCAATATAAGTCCACATCATAATCAGAGTCCAGTAGTTTTCCTTAGTGGTTCTTTTGAGAACCTAAGTATCTTGATTTTGTTTTCAAAAGCTAATACATCATAAGAATAATGACCAACAAAGATGATTAGAAAGAGACATACATATACACTGAACTGTCTGGACTGTCTAGAACATTCCACTAGTGTGAATGACAATGCACAGACCCCATTCATTCATCATCAACTTTTTTGTTTATTTGAGATTAGAACTATATATAAGAAATTTAACTTGGAGTGCTGGGGTAAACGTTTGTGTTTTAGAAAGGTTTATGGAACATTTAATGTCTAGATGTAGCTTTGCATCTAAGGGTTCTGTCAAAGCTCTCCACCACACTGCACAGGATTCAATTCATCTGCTTTGCAAGGATGACTCAGAGCTAATGGGATTTGAATGTGTGGCTCCAGCTAGTCTAGCTTTGTATTACTGACAAGGTGACTACTAAGCCATCTTCTTCCAGACAGATGGGTTTCCATTTAATGTTTGCAGATCCAGGGGGATGGGAAGCAGGGAGTAACATGATCTATCTCAGCAAGCATTGTTTAGTATGCAGTGCATCAGGTAGACCCAATTCAAATTCAGATGCCTGCAGAAACTGCCCTGCTCCTTTCATCTTCACCAACAGTAGGTGAGTTAGTTGTTCTAGTGACATGGACTACATTGTTGTTGTTGTTGTTAAGTCCCGTGGAGTTAGTTCCGACCCATAGCGACCCTGTTCAGGGTTTGAGGCTGTAAATCTTTACGGGAGCAGAAAGCCTCATCTTTCTCCCACAGAGCAGCTGGTAGTTTCGAACTGCTGACCTTAAGGTTCACAGCCCGATTCGTAACCACTACGCCACCAGAGCTCCTTGACATCGACTATAAGGTCTATGAATTGATGTTGTCAGACAATATTTTTTGAACACTAACTACTTGCCAGATATTGTTAGGGATTAGGGATACAACAGTGAAAAACATACCCAGTCCTACCCTCAAAACTGTTGATACCCACACTAAGTGTCCTCTCTAAGCTCACATATGCAGTTTATATTTTTATTTATTTGTGTTTGTAATGCACTGTCATGGACTGAATTGTGCCCTTCAAATCTATGAGTCAGCTTGGCTAGGCCATGATTCTCCATGGTTTAGCAGTTATGTAATTATGTGACCTGATGTAATTATCTTCATTTATGATGTGTTACAAATCCTGTTTTGGTGTGGTGCTACAGGATAAGCACTGGACTGCATTCAAACTGTGAGGTCAGGGGTTCAAACTCATCAGGCACTCCTCAGAAACCCTATACAGGGTCATTATGAGTTGGAACCAACTAGATGGCACTTCACATGTTTTAATAAGGCTTTGGTAACAGAAATGATTCTAGATATTACATCATAGAACTTTGCAAGAGCAATGACTTATTCATTGCAAATACCTTTTTTTAAGAGAAAAAAATGACTATACACATGGACCTCACCAGATGGAATACACAGAAGTCAAAATGACTGCATCTGTGGGAAGAGACAGTGGAAAAGCTGAATATCATCAGCCAAAACTAGGCCAGGGGCAGACTGTGGAACCGATCATCACTTGCTCATACTCAAGTTCAGGCTAAAGCTGAAGAAAATTAAACAAAATCCACGAGAGACAGAATATGACCCTGAACATATGCCACCTGAATTTAGAAATCAACTCAAGAAGAGACTTTGATGCATTAGGTACTAAAGACCAAAGACCAGAAGAGTTGTGGGATGACATCAATAACATAATAAAAGAAGAAAGGAAAAGTTCATTAAAAAGACAGGAAAGAAGGAAAAGGCCAAAATAGTCATCAGAAGAGATTCTGAAATGTGCTTTCCAGCACACAGAAGCTAAAGCAAATGGAAGAAATAACGAAGTGAAAGAGCTGAACAGAAAATTTCAAAGGGTAGCTTGAGAAGACAAAGCCAAGTATTATAATGAAATATACAAAGACCTAGAGTTAAAAACCGAAAAGGGAAGGACATGCTTAGCATTTCTCAAGCTGGAAGAACTAAAGAAAAAATTCAAGCCTCGACTTGCAATATTGAATGATTCTATGGAAAAACATCGAATGATGCAGAAGACATCAACAGATGAAGGAAGGAATATAGAGTCACGGTAGCAAAGAGAAATGGTCAATGTTCAACCATTTCAAGAGGTTGCATGTGATCAAGTGTCAATGGGACTGAATGTAGAAGTCCACAGTGCACTGAAGGCACTGGCAAAGAACAAGAGTCCAGGAAATGATGCAATACAAATTGAAATCTTTCAACAAACTAATAAAGCACTGGAGGCACTCACTCATCTATGCCAAAAAATTGGAAGGGATCCATATTTGTTCCCATTCCAAAGAGAGGAGACCTGATTCTGTTGAATGTAAAAATCAGACAATCTCATAAATAGCACATGCAAGTAAAATTTTGCTGAAGATAATTCAAAAATGCCTGCAACAGTGCACTGACAGGGAACTGCCAGAGGTTCAAGTTGTATTTAGATAAGGACATGGAACAAGGGACATCACTGCTGATGTCAGATGGGTCTTGGCTGAAAGCAGAGAATACCAGGAAAATGTTTACCTGTGCTTTATTGACTATGCAAAGGCTTTCAACTGTGTGGATCATGACAAGCAATAGACAACAATGCAGAGAATGAGTATTCCAGAATGCTTAATTGTGTCATGAGGAACCTGTATACACCAAAAGGCAGTCATTCAAACAGAACAAGAGGACATTGAATGGCTTCTATAAAATCAGAAAAGGTGTGTGCCTGGGTTACATTCTTGCACCATATTTATTCAGTCTGTATGCTGACCAATTAATCCAAGAGGCTGGATTATATAAGGAAGAACATGGCATCAGGATTAGAGGAAGACTCTTTAACAACCTGCAACATGCAGATAATACAACCTTACTTACTGAAAGTGAAGAGGACTTAAATAAAATACTTACTGATGAACATCAAAGACCACAGCCTTCAGTATAGGCTGTACCTCAATGTAAGGAAAACAAAAATCCTTACAACTGGACCAAAAAACATCATGAAAAATGGAGATAGGATCGAAGTTTTCAAAGACGTCATTCTGCTTGGATCCACTATCAACACTCATAGAAGCAGCAGTCAGAAATTCAATGACAAATTGCAAATCTGCTGCCCAAGATCTCTTTAAAGCATTGAGGAGCAAAGATGTCAGTTTGAGTGAGGATTAAGGTGCACCTGACCAAGCCATGGTATTTTCAATAACCTCATATGCATGTGAAAGCTGGACAATGAATAAGGAAGACCGTAGAAGAATTGATACATTTGAGTCATGGTGTTGAAGAAGAATATTAAAAGTACCAATGACATCCAGAAGAACAAACAAATCCTTTGGCTGTTGAAGCCAAGATGGTAAGACTTGGTCTCTCAAACTTCAGACCTATTGTCAGGAGAGTCTAGTCCCTGGAGGAGGATATCATGCTAGGTAAAGTGGAGGATCTGCAAGGAGGACAAGATGGATTAGCTCAGTGACAGCAGTAGCATTCTCAAGTGTAACAAGCATTGTAAAGTCAGTGCAGGAACAGCAGTGTTTGGTTCTGCTGTGCATAGGGTCACTGTGAGTCAGAACTGACTAGATGGCTCCTAAAAGCAATAACAGCATGTGTTAATGAGGGAGGATTAGGTTATGTTTGCTACATTACTGAGGCAGGGTAAGGGCACAACAAAATACTTTGTGCGAGCTGCAAACCTGATCTGATGTAAATTGAGTTTCTCTGGGGTGTGGTCTGTGTTACCTTTTACATTACAAGAGATAAAGGAGAGAAAAACCAGTAGAAAAAGAGGGACATCAGTAACCCAAAGAAAGAAAAGCTGCAAGCAAAGTATGACCTTTGTTCTGGGGCCGAGAACTTCCAAGACCCAGGGAAGACTGATGTCAAGACACATGGAGATCTCCAAGAGATACAGGGCCCACAGATGTTAAAAGGAGACAAGTACCTTCCTCCAGAGCTGACAGAGACAGGAAGCCTTCCCCTAGAGCCAACACTCTGAAGCCAGACTTGTAGTCTCCATAAATGGGAGAGAACAAATTTGTATGTTACCATCATCCACTTTTGGTATTTCTGTTCTATATGGCAGCACCAGATAGTTAAGATATGTAAACTTCTGTTGCTGTTTTAGTTCTCCAAATACTAAAATTAAAAGATAATAAATGATATAAAAAATTTTAATAGTGCTTTTTAAATAGTTTACCTTAATCAATCTTCAAAACAATCCCATGTCAGTAGACCCAATACTACTATTGCCTCCAATTTACAGAAAAGTGACTAGGAACACGAATCATATCCTTTAATTGCCCAGGTCAGGGCTTCCACTTACACTACTTACAATATTTTGTAATTTTCTATTTCCTACATCTTCCATAAGACTGTAATCCCCTGAGAGCAGGGACTGTCTTCTATGCGTGTATCTCCAATACTTAGCACAAAGTGAGCCATCAACCAATCTTTGACTAGTTACACATTTACCTTCTCTAAGACACTGGTGTGGTGAGGTGAGTTAATGCACTGGAGTGCAAGGTCTGTTTGAACTGCAAGGTCAGCAGTTCAAGCTCACCAGCCGCTCCTTGGAAACCCTAAACAGGGTCACTATGGGTCAGAATTGACTCGGCGGTACTTAAAAACAACAAGAAGACACTTTAGGGAATTACGAGCTAGGCTACTAACTACAAGGTCAGCAGTTCAAATCTATTACCCACTCCTCTAGAGAAAGATGAGGCTTTCTACTCCTGTAAAGATCTATCTATAGCTTCAGAAACTCTATACAGGGTTTCTAGGAGTCAGAAATGACTTAGTGGCACACAACTACCACCATCAGCACCAAGATGCGCTACCTGATCCACCCTGCCCCCTACAACCAAGACATTAGAAGAAAAGAGCTTTTTGCCCAAGTGATCAAAGCACAGGGTTTAGGGTATCAAGAGGTGAAATTGACATTTTGTCTTCACTATCCACTAGGTGTGTTACTGAGGGCTTGTTACTTTCCTATTTGAATTCTGGCTATTTGCAAATGAGGATGCCAACATCTACTTTATAGAAAGACCATGAGGAAAGTATTTAACCTAGTTGAGTTTCCTTTCTAGTGGTCACTCACAAGCTGTTATTTTTACCTTTATTGGACACTTATCGTTTAGTGTCTATCTCCATCCACTAGTAGTGAAGCCCTTAGAAGGCAGGTTCTATTCCAGTCATCCTTGTATTCCTAGACACTAGTTCAATGCCTTACAAACATATGGAGAAATCAGATGAACCCAGCTACACTTTTACCTAGCAACTAGTTGAGAAGTCAGCACTCATCTGGAGATGGAAAAATACTGCTGACTCAGTACAATTTAGTCAAACAAGGGATATGGAATCACAGGTTTGGGTTCTGTCGTTCTAGGAGACAGTTTGCTGACAAGGACTATTTCCAGGTCACTCACCCACCAACAAGTGTCAGTTGTTGTTGTGAAGTGCACTGAGTCAGTTCTGACCCATAGCAACCCTGTATAGGGTTTCCAAGGAGCAGCTAGTGAGCTTGAACAACCAACCTTGCAGTTCAAACGGCTTTGCAGTCTGGCGCATTAACCCACAGCGGCACACCAGGATACAGCAAGTGACAGTACTTGGTATTAATTGAGTAACTCGTTAAAGGAGAACACATGTGAGCACAAATTTCACAATCTGGTTACATAATAGAGATGCCAAGGACGATAGAAGAACAGAACGCAACTGGACTTGGAACTTGCTTCGTCACAGCCTTCTTACATTCTGTATAAATACACAAAATCCTGCCTTCTAGACATTCTTAGGCTTTCTCAGGGGACTAAAGAAACTTGAGGAGCATTCAAGATACTCTTCTTTGGATGCATCCCAGGGCTATTAATAGTGCTCTAAGTACTCTGGTTAAGCCCTCAGTTATTAACTACAAGGTTGGTGGTTTGAACCCAAGCAGGAATTCCACAGACTAAAGACCTGGGAATCTGCTTCCATAATGACGGCAGCCTAGAATACCGTCTGTGGCAGTCCTACTCAGTCATATGGGTTCACCATGAGTCTGAATCCACTTCACAGCATCCAACAAGAACAGTTCAGTACCTTCACCAAGAGCCTCACCTTCATCAGTAGTTCCCGACTGGTCAAATGGTTATTATGGTCTGAGAAAATCTCTGAAAGTTCTTCAAACATCAGCATTCGGTCCCTATGAAGAGGAATTGAGGAAATATTAACAAATGAAGAGAATTAGTTAGCCCAACACCTTCAACCCAACTGCCCTCAGTTACCTATGGATCTAAGGGATTTACGCTGATCTCAAGACCAAGAGATAATACAAGCACAGATGAGGCCAATGATCTTTTTTCATGAAAGTGGTTTTTGTTTGTAAGGTACACATACATTGCCACATGGGTGTATATAGGGCTATTTTCTAACCATTCATGTTATAATCATTAAAAAGTTCAACTGGGACACTTAATTGTACAATTGGGACATGTCCACTTCAGTAATCAAAAAACAAAACAAAAAACCAACAAGCAATTTTAGCAACAAACAAAGCCCAACGGAACCTGAGAGGTCATTTGGTCAGTACCCTCATTTTATAAAAACAAAGAAACCAGGGCAAGGGCTTTCCCAAGCTTCCCTTAGGAACTGCTCAGTGGGGTTCCAGGTTCTTAGCCCAAAAGTCTTGATTCACACGCAGCCCAGTGTTCTCTGCCTCGGAGTCAGAAGTGCAATGGAATAGCAAGTAGAGAGAGCTCTGGAGTCAGAGGGTCTGGCATTCAAGTTCCAACACTTGCCAGCCATCTTGGACACGTTGATTACCTTTCCTTTAGGATAAGCACTGGATGCTAACCACAAGGTTGGTAGTTAAAACCTGAAAAAATGCACTTAACAGCAACAGCAAATCTCATAGGATTTGCTGTGAAAGAAAGTAGGGTCACATATATGTGGTGCTGCAGGATAATGTACTGGTCCACAAGGTTGGCAGTTCAAACTCACCAGCATCTTACAAACACTATACAGGGATGCTGTGAGTTGAAATGGACTGGAAGGCACTTAACAACAACTACCCTTGTCCCTTTTGAGAACACTATATCTTCACTCCGTGAATTATTCTAAAGGCAGGCATTAATGGGGGCAATGCCATTCATAAATGTAACACTTACACTGGCATGTAAAAACCATTATAAGAACCTACCTGTTTTACAATAAATGCAAACGTTGTTGTTGTTAAGTACCATAGAGTTGATTCCAACTTGTAGCGACCCTGTAGAGGGTTGCGAGGAGTTGTTGGTAAGTTTGAACCACAGACCCTGCGATTCAAACCAACCTTGCAGTCTAGTGCTTGTCCTCTAACACACCAGGACTCCTTATGTAATACTACTCTTATAATACATACACATTACAGCTATTTGCATTTTGAAAAAAATCATTAAAAACTTAATTACATGTGGCCCTAAATGAAGAGAAATAAACAGATGTCCTCTCTGTCCTTTGGAAGCTAGATACCTAAAGCTTTACACAGAAAACAGTACCCAAATAAATATCTTAAATCTGCCCTGAAGTTAGCAATGAAAAAGTATAAAGCTGCTATGGAAGTTCCTTCTCTAAGGAACTGTGACACTTCTATGTCCCCTCTACTAAAACATCAATCAACCAACCAAGCAACAGAAACAAACCAGACATCATGATGCACAGAACGTGACTTTGATTTTTTTTTTTTTTTTGCTAGCTAAAAAAGCTCCTTTAAGAATGGGTCTTCTCATCCAGTCATCAAAATGATTAAGATACAAGTCCACTAATTTGTACTTAGGAGTCCTGGTGTGATGCTGTAGGGTAAACACTCAACCACAAGGTCAGCAGTTCAAAGTCACCAGCTGCTCATTGGAAACCTTACCCAGGGTCGCTATGAGTCAGAACTGACTTGACAATTATTTAACAACAACAATTTTTAGTTGTGTTCTAGATTTAAGCATACCCAGGTCTCAGCAGGTCTAAGTGACTTGTCAGCCACCAAATAAGATTACCTTTTATGGTAGTCAGGTAAGGCTGCATTTTAAAACCTGGCCTTCTCTTTGCTCATGATACCACAGATGGGGAGAGGTGACGAGGAAGAAAAGAAGAGACATGGAGGTCGAAGGGAGGGATGATTTCCCCATTGTATTTCACCAGAACCTGTCATCTGATGATTTTATAGTAAAACCTGAGAAAGCTGGAACCTGTGTAAGGTGGAAGACAGACAAGAGCAGCAAAACTCAAATATCTTCCACTAAAACAAGTGGTAAGAATGCACTCAGTCAAAGGTGGAAAATTTCTGAGACCAGGAAAAACAAGGCAGTCCCCATTGAGTTCTGGTTCTCAGGTTTCCTAAGATAGATGCAGAAAGGAGAATCTCTGTTCATACACGGTCATCTTGACTATTCAAGCCAATGAAGAGCAGACAGAAGCCTTTTAAAGAGCGGTAATGGAGAAGACATCACTGGATTTGGGAAAGTATGTGTGCTAGTGTTTTTTCCTGACAGATAACAGTGTTGTAAACAGCACGAGGCTGCGCTGAATCTTGACTCTTCAGCTCTGAAACATGGGGCATTCAGATGGTCCACTCCACATTTTCAAACTCCTGACCCATCAAAGCATTTCTTAAAGCGGTGTGGTGAACTGTCTAATGTCTCTTTTAGCCATAGTCTGTAACTCCCACCCAACTATGTTTTTGCATTCGTGGTTCTGGCTAAGAGAAAGTGGGAAAAGATGCTGATAGGATTGTATGATTCTTAAAGTTAATTGTGATTGTAAAAACCTGGAACACTAACGTGTATAAAATGAGCCATCTCAAAAGCAGAAACAGAGTAGCTTACTACCATCCAAGGAGCTTTGGTAGTATAGTGGTTATGAGTTGGGCTGCTAATCTCAAGGTCAGCAGTTTGAAACTACCAGCCATTCCATAAGAGAAAGAGGAGGCTTTCTGCTCCCGTAAAGATTTACAGCTTTGGAAACCCTACACAGGGTTGCTATGAGTCGGTGCACAACTACCATTAAAGAAGAGCAAGGAATGGAGTACATTCTTTGGACTCCAATTTCCCTGCACATTGAGCCTCCTCTACCCAGGGACAGAAAGCTGAGACACTGGAGCCGAGGGGCAGCAGCAGCAGAACCAAGGCCAGAGCACAAGACAGCCCAGGGAACAAGTAAAGCCCAGTGACTTTGAGCAGGATGCTTGCTTCCAGAAAGCGACACCCGCAGACACTTAATTGGGGGTGCTGGGTTTGCTGACCCACGGAGCATAGAGCCTTCAGGCTAAGGCTTATGATGGAGTGGTGTTCCCTGCCGGTAACATGTGATTTTCACCTAGTGACTCTCTAAAACCTGTGCTTTAGTCACTTAGGCACAAAGCTATTTTTTCTAATGACTTGGGAGTAGGGGGACAGGGTGGATCAGGTAAAGCATGTTGTTGTTGTTGAGTGCCATCAAGCCAGTTCTGACTCATAGTGAATCTGTATAGGGACTCTAAGGAGCAGCAGCTGGTAGATTTGAACCACCACCTTGTGGTTGAAACTGATACTGCAGTCGAGTGCTTATTCTACAGCGCCATACAGATCAAGTGTGTTTTTGTTGTTATGTGCCGTGGAATCAGTTCCGACTCATAGCAACCCTGCACAGGGTTTCCGAGGCTGTAAATCTTTACGGGAGCAGAGAGCCTCATCTTTCTCTCACGGAATGGCTGGTAGTTTTGAACTGCTGACCTTGAGGTGAGCAGCCCAACTTTGTAACCACTACACTACCAGGGTTCCTTAATCCGTATGATATACTGTTGTTATTATGTGTCGTGGAGTTGGTTCCGATTTATAATGACCCTGTACAAGGTTTCTGATGCTATATATCTTTATGGGAGCAGAAAGCCTCATCTTTCTCCCGCGAACATCTGGTAGTTTTGAACGGCTAACCCTGAAGTTAGCAGCCTGATTCGTAACCACTACGCTACCAGAGCTCCTTAGAGCATGTTAGAGAAGATAAAACAGTAATCTATGCTACGACTGATGGAGAGTTTACTCTATGCTACGTATTAGAGATACACAGGTATAGAAGACAATCCCTGATCTCAGGAGTTACAGTAGTCCTAAGAGAGTTTTATAGTAAAACCTGAGAAATATAAAATGGTGGGGCAGAGGCCTGCCTGTGGGCACAGCTGAGGAGAGACTGTTCTAACTGGAACAACTATGCCCTAAGCATTTCTGCCCCATTGTAACCTATTCACTTCGCTTATCAATTTCTTATCTGTGACCATAATTTCTGAGTTTCGTGCGGCTATTGCAATAAATTATCAAACCAAGTTGAAAAGTAGAGTGCTCTGAGAGAGGGAGAGTTTGGTGCCACATTTATTGCATTTGGTAAGTAATTTGACTCCCCCCACAAATAAGACTTTCTTCTGGTTTACCAATCTCGGTTTCTTGCAAGTTTGGACTGTATCAGTCCCTGAGGACTTAATTAGCGCCAGTGAAATGTGTACCTGGAGTTTCCTTCTGAGGACCAAGACATATTTCCACTCGGGCAGCCCTGCCTAGTAAGCCAGCTGGCCTCTCGCCTGATAGAAACAGACCAGACTGAAGACAGCACACATTTGAAACCACTGACACGTTCTTCCGCGATACATCCTGACTTCCTGGCTGGTTCGAAGCTAGCCACATTGTTAAACGTAACTGGCTTAGTTGACATCCAAGCCACAGTCCCTAGGTTCTTATATCAGTACTGAAAATATGACCAGAAGTGTCCCACTCACTTGCCTCCTTTGTAAACAGATCCCTGGGATCTACGAATTCTGGAAATTCTGCAAAAGACCTTCCATGTTTTTAGTCAACATAGAAATAGTGAAAATAATAAGGATATTAAAGTGCAAATTGTTCCCAAGACTGTGGCCAAAGAAATATGAAGCAAAGCAGCACGGAATGCAGCTAACTCAATCATTTCAGCTAGGTAAGCAGGAAGGCGCGTTAAGACGATCACTATTAATATGCCGAAGCAGAAACTGACTAAATGGTTTCTTGGTGAACAGCACGAACAAACGTCCTGCCTGCACACATTATCTCTCACATCCTGAAATACCTCATGGCTTTGAAAATTGGGCTGAAAAATAACTAGTAATAGCAAATTGCTGCAACTCCATTATTCCACAACTGTGTCCCTCAAAACCTGGATAATAACCACATCCCTTGGCGTTATCCCAAAGGCCAGCTATCTTTGCCTATTGGCATCCTTTGAGAATGAGTCTGATTTCTGCAGCAGCTTGCCTCAACACACATTAATTTTACTCGTTAAGTATAAAACACACCCTCACTGGGCCATACTGTTGCTCTGGTTATATAATATGAGCTTTGAAGGTGAAGCCCCATCACATTTATGCAGCAACTAATCATTCCAGCCAAAGAAAAGGAGAGCAGACAACACTTGGGAACTTACTTTGGGACGGCAGCCCAAGTCTTTTTCAGTCGGTAGATGGAATTAGACTGCAATGCCGAAACGATGGCCCGCAAGGAGGAAAAGTTCTTCAGGATTCTACATTCCTGCAGGGGGAGTGATTAAAGCATAAAAGGCATTTAAATATCAATATTACAGTGAGTTGGTGGTTTCCTGTTTTAGAGGTATCACAGCTGCTATGAATTCTTACTACTAAATAGACAGCTGTATAAATACTGAACATCAAAAACTAACTCCTTACTCCCACCCTAGTCACAAAAACATTTTATAGATTTTGGCACTCGAGGCTTGTTTTTCTCCCTTTAATATATTTTTTGGGTTGTTGTTACAGTTTTATAGTTTCCAGCTTGCCTAGTAAAAACACGAATGGAGGCAAATCTGCACGGCTATGCTAGAGAAAGCAAACTTTCTTCTGCTGAAAGCACACAGATGCCCTAAAAATCCACATGAAGGACCATCCCTGAGACCCACAACATGAGCCGGGCAGCAGCCACTTTGAGGTCAGATGGTATTGAGCCTCTCACGACCAATTCCTAATCCAGAGACGTGTACATAACTTGGCAATGAAAGTTCACCACAAGTTGAACCTTCACTTTTATGCTCTTAGCCAAGAGGGAATATTTGTGTACACATTCATTTTGCTTCAAATTGGCTTGTCCCACAACTATAAACATTCAGAAACACCTTGGTCCTTCAATGCTTCCAAAATAACTTGCATTTTAAAAACAAAATTCAGTTTGTTTTAAAACAAACTAGAAAAGAGAACAGGAGACATTCTGGGTGCCATGCTGGGTAAAGGGAAAGTTCTCTACTCCCGAAACTTAAGCTACAGCATGCAGCCTATAATGCCGGAAGTCAGCGACCTTGGGTATCCAAGTTTTACTGAACGAAGGGCAAGGACAGCACAACAGGGTGAGGGTCTCATCACTTGCTAGCATTAGGAAGGTGGGCATATGGGGAGGTCTCACTGTATGTCAAAGGAGATGATTTATATACAGGTTCACCGGAGTACAACATCTCCAGTGTTTATAAGCAAGTGCACTGGGTGAGCAAGTATTTTGCTTTGTGTAGAACATCTGGGACAAGGGGTCCCAGAATGGTTGAGCATAAATACACCATGCCTAGAGGATCACTTCATGAAATAATGCAAACCTTAAGAGTTTGGAACATTCTCTAACTTAGCATGGCTACCTTAAAACTGTGCAAAACAAACCAACCCCCAAATATTTTCTTTATAAAACTCAAACTTGCATTTTCTTAAAAAAAAAAAAAAAAAAAAGTCTCAGTATCCTCCCCTTATCCTTTGAAAAAGAGAAAGAAAACTGTTAAGCTACAGTCAGTTTGGACACCAAACTGTAAGTGCATGGTTCATCAAAGGTTCAGAATCTAAAAGTTATGTTCTAGAAAATCAGGAAACTTGCAATAAATAAAAGACCTCAGGCACAAATATTTCATGCAAATTGTAATAAACATATGGAACACATTATTCAGCAAGAGGCTGAAGCTAAGGGTTTAAAGGAATCTTGGCCTCATTTCTGGAAAAGGAAGTATCTTCCAGGATATGTGGTTCAAACATAGAAAAGCAGTATTTACAGCAAGTCCAAGAAAATATGGTCATATTAGGTCAGAAATCTTTTCTGTATGTAATATGGTTATTTCTCAAATAGGTACTCAAAAGAAACTGATTAATGCAGAAAAAACAAAATAAGTTTTGGCAAAAACTGCCTATGACTTTTGTTACTTTATTAAGTTAACTTTTACAATTTCAAAGAGTACAGCATGCTCATGATTAAAAAACATCAAGAGTAAGGACCAATGGCTTTTGGCATATGCTATAGAATTTGGAATATGCTTCAGATTATTCAACCTATATTTCTTATTACATAAATGTACAATTGATGTTTGAGTTGGGCCAAAAGTCACTCTGAGCCACATGTCCAACATACACACACACACACACACACACACACACACACTACATTCTTTCTATAAAGCTTTATAACCACTTGAATGGATTAGCGGTAGATACAGCATTTTCCATTGAGAAATGTAGAGGATTACAGCTATGGCATATGTAGCAAAAAAATGTTTGTCTTTTTTTCTAAGAAGACACAAATTCTATGCTGTGTCATAATCTATCAAAACTTTTACTTGTTGAGAAGTAAGTTCAAATCAGAGTAGGAGAAATTTAAGTTGCATAAGATACTCTTTGTTTCTTGCTCTTTTGCTCATATACTAAAATGTCTGTGGCTAACAGGCCACCAAAACACCCAATACAAGGCACGTAAATATCCTTGCTCTTTAGTCAAAGGCAACAAAAGGTAACATGAAAGACACAAATATTATGTCCTACAGATTTCCTACTGGGGCTTAATGGGTGGGAGAGGAACAGGATAGAAAGCTTTGGCTGAGGTCTGATCCACATAGTCGATGTGGTCTAGTCGGTTCCTATTCACAAAGACTCCATGTGACGGAGTAGACATGCCCCAGAGGATTTTATAAACTGTCATCTTAGCATAGTGGTTAAGAATTGGGCTGCGAACCTTAAGGTCAGCAGTTGGAAACTAACAGCTGTTCCACAGGAGAAAGATGAGGCTTCCTGCTCCCGTAAAGATTTACAGCCTCAGAAACCCTGCACAGGGTCGCTGTGAGTCAGAACCGACTCCATGGCACATAACCACCATCACCAATCTTTATGGAGGAGTCCTGGTGTGGAGCTGTGGGTTAATGTGCCAGACTGCAAAGCTGTTTGAACTGCCAAGGTCATACGGGGGACTCAACCTCACCAGCTGCTCCTTGGAAAGCCTATATGCAGGGTTGCTATGGATCAGAGCCGACTCGATGGCATGTAACAACAAGTTTTTAAGGAATAAAATCACTGCATGGAACCGATGGAGCCTGTGGGGAGGTTCTAACTGCCAACCTTTTGATTAGAAGCCAAGTGCTTTACTGTTGCACCAGCAGGCTCCTTAAAGATAGCCCAAAATATAGATTTATAAGATATTCACTTTTTTTTCTCAAAATCACTCTTAACTGCCTAAGTTTTACTGATTTAATTTCTTTTGTCAGGAAAAGGCATCCTTTCCTCACTCTTTAAAAGTCAAAAGTCCTATTATTCAAAGCAAAATTTGGATGCCACCTCATCCAGGAGGTCTTCTTTGATCATCCATTCGATTCAGAAACGGTCTGTCCTCTCCGCTTTCACAGAACTTGTCACCTATGACCCTACTCTTGTACTTCCCAGCTGAGATCATTCCAGTATGTTCCTTGTTTGATAAGCTCCTGTAAGACCAAATCAATTCTGTGCTGTCCTATGAAGGTCCGTAAAGTACACAATATTGTAGCTTACACACATTTGGACCTCACCGAATACTTGCTGACCGACTAACAGAAAACTGTTCAAATGTTCTCAGTCATGAAATAAGATTATACTTCTTGTTCGTAAGTGTCATTTAGTTGGCTCTAGTTCATAGTGGCCCTGTGTATAGTTTCCAAAGAGCAGCTGGTGAGTTTGAACTGCTGACCTTGTGGTTCTTACCCTACAGTGCTACACCATGACTCCTTGTTGTTGTTAGGTGATATCGAGTCGGTACTGACCCATAGCAACCTTATGTACAGCAGAATGAAATAAGGACTCTTTAGTGATGGTTATATAATATGTGGGCATCAGAGCCAAGAGTCTAGACTCTCACACTCAGCAGAATGCACTTGTAGGAATATGTTTTGCCTTCCAACCTTAGGTGAAAGGCCCCAGATCAACGAGAGACCTCTGTAAGTGTCTCAATCCTTTGGAAAAGAGATTCAGGATTCTAAGAAGTTGGCTCTTGTGCTTCCAGAACTCACGAAGTGCATAGGTAGTAATTCTGGGTTGAAGAGCCATGGATGACCCTCACATCCTCAGTTTATAGTTCCTAAACAAGGGGCAGAGAAAGACTCTCTCTGGTGAAGACTAACATAAAAGCAAACAGTGTCTCATCCTGGAGAAGCAGTAGTGGGAATGGAGCCCACCAGAACAAAAGTGCATGGGCCCTGCTATTTTTTTTTTTTTTTTAAAAAGGGGGTGAAAGACAACTTTCCTTCGTACTTCGAAACAACAAACCAGAATGAATTTTCAAACCAGAATGAATTTTCAAACCAGAATAAATTTTCAAATATAGACTATCTTTCAACCAAATGGCTAAGCCATTTAAAGGCAGCACTAGGGTTATCTCCAACATCTACTAAACATGAAGAATATGTTTGAAAAGATAATTACATGAGCAATGTTAATCCACTTCTCGATGATTTTGGCTCGCTGCTGCGTTTTCAGTTCTTTGCCCCCTAAGATGGTGCTGACGACACATTTGGTGAGGGTATTAAATTGAGAGATGGTAGCCCGGATTGTAGGAGCCAAATGTTTGTTTTCTTTCTTATCCCTTTGAGACCAGATGCAGCCCAGGCAGTGGTGAGGCACCACTTTCTTGAACAGTTGCTAGAACAAAAGAGGAATTGACTTTAAGGACAGCACAGACATTTTACACGGCAAAGCACGTCGTCTGGCTCATCTGCAAACTGGTATTTAGTGAACACACAGAGAACACTTTTCTACCTGATTTGCCTAGTGATGTTCATTTCAATAAGCAAAAGTAAATCATTAATATATTAACTGATCAGAAAAGCCCACATGTTCTTTTAAAATATGCTCAATGGAGCAAATGGAACACAATGAGCAAGAGAAATTCAAATGACCGAAGAAACATTTTGATGCTTCTGTTGCTCTGCAAGGAAAATCAGGTGAAATCTATCAATGACTTTGAAATCAAAATCATATCTATGGTGTGTCCTGGTGCTATATGAATGTCCTGTATTGTACTGTGACCACCCGCAAAGTGACCCACAGAAGGAAAGAACACGAAACATATACCCCTGGTGAAATTTCACATTCCTCAAAATGAAGCAAATAAGGAGCATGCAATTGAAAAAAACGATTCAATTCAACACCATGAGATGTAGAAAGAGGAGTTTAAAATGTAGTTTTCTGGTCTTGGCTTAAAAACAATAACCAATGAATGTTTCCATCTTCCTCTTAAGCTACCAATTGTGGAACAGCAATAAAGACAAACTGATATTGTTAGAATAGATTCTGATTGATACAACAATACAGTGTCAGTTGTGCGGGGTTTGTTTAAAAGACTGTACACACCAGGATTTACGTTACAGAGACTATCTGATTTACTTATACTATACTATATGCATGTTCACTGGATGGAACCCTGCCACTTTCTGTGCCACTTTCTCAAACACAGTTAAGATCAAAGAAGCTAGAACCACTGTGATGAATCATAACCGTTGTGTTTCCTTTAACTGGTATTTACCAACTAATGTTGAGCTAAGGAAATGTGACTGACAAAATCAAGTATGTACAGCGAACAAAAATATTCAAACTCCAAAAGTGTAGGAAGCATACATGAAAATGAGCTGCCACACGTGGGTCAGTGGATTTACCGTATCGTGACTGACACTCTGACTCCTTTACAATCCTCCAAAGAAACAGTTGAGAACTTGAAATATTTATGAGCCTAAAGGGAGAGAAACACTCATGCAATGGGGTAGATTTGGTTTCACTCAGATTAGAATTCTTATTTTCCTCTGCATCTTGGGCTCCGAGTAAAACAACACCTTCACCCAGAATGGCAAGAAGAGCTTAGGGCTGAATTACTCAGATGATAGATTCAAGTCCCGCCTTAAGTCTACGATTTCAGGCAAAGGCTCTCTTCTCAAGGATTCAAAAACACTTAAATCACATGACACCCTGCCTCACCAGGGCAACCAGCATTGTCACTCCTCTACACTGGAAATGGAAACACACATGAGTTACAAAGAGAGCACATACTGCATCCATATAGGTCAGCTGCTCCGCCACAAGATCTTCGGAGAAGAACGTGAATTCTGCTGACCCTCCAACCTCCAGTTCCTCTTCCTCTTCCAGGCTGAATGACATGGTGCTGGGAAGCCCATCTGTTCAAGTACAAAAAAATTAGTATCTTGGTGCCATCGTAGATGACCTTAGTTACAGCTTCAATTTGAACTGCTCTCATTTAGGAAGAGAGAAGGGCGAGGCCCACAGCAGACTCATTGGGAGAGAACAGAATGTACAATAAATTTAAGTGAAATGGAGATCTTCTCAATCTCTGCTTGTTCTTAGATTTTTTTTTTCTTTCTTTCTTTCTTTTTAAGCTCAGAGGCCCCATGCAGTTACTTTGGAAAACCACTTACTCCTATGTCTAGGAGGAGCCAGGTTTAAGGCAAGATGCAGAGAAGCAAATCAGGAATTACATTTACAGAGACGTCTGCAAACCCGTCTGACAGCTCTTGGAGCAATCCAACTAATACCTAAACTCCAAATTCATAGTTTTTAATTATGGAAGCACTTATAACCAGGTCTGAAAGGCCTGGGCATGGAGGTTGGCTAGACTTTTGGGGACAGTTGTTTCTGTTGTTAAGTACTATTGAGTTGGTTCCGACTCATAGTGACCCTGTATAAAGTTTCTGATGAGCAGCTGGTGGGTTTGAACTGCTGACCTTGCAGTTCACAGTCCAGTGCTGATCCTACATCGCCACACCAGGACTCCTTGAAAAACGTCCAGGCAGTTCTACTTTGTCCTACAGGGTCACTGTAAGTCAGAATTGATTCAAAGGCAAAGGGGTTTGGTTATTATTATGGATAACATCATTTATTAGCAAATTAAATAAGGCACATGCTGAGTAAGGGAAAGAAAATCGCTCTCAGGAATCCACATAAAAAGCTGAAGGAGTATGGAATAGGACCTGGAGTATCCAGTTGGAAAGTGTAGAGCTGGGAGGAGTCTGACCGACTCCCCATCCTCTCTTTTCTGGAGTCTATCCTGGATTATTTCCCAACCTCATCTGCTTTTTCATATTCCAAGCTCTTTTCCAGACAAACCTGTTCTCAGGAGAAAAATCTAATTGCCACAGTTTTATCTTAGCACAAATTTAAATCACGGCATTATTATATTATTTTTAAGCCTCTTCTCTCCCTTCTTTGCAGAATAAAAGGCTTGTGAGCAACATGGAAGAAGTTGGGATGGCTTTTTCTTAGTTTTATAAGGGGAGAGAGAGTGCTGAGAGTGGACCCTGTATTATTCCCCCCTTTTGGTAACACCACATTGTTGTTTTTGCTGTTAGGTGCCATTCAGTCAGTACCGCCTCATAGCAACTTTATGCAAAACAGAACAAAACACTTCCTCTTTTTTGCTGACCCTCCACTTTACTAAGAGTGATGTCCTTCTCCAAGGACTGGTCCCTCCTGATAATATGTCCAAGTATGAGAGGTGTAGTCTGGCCAACCTGACTTCTAACAAACATTATGGCTGTACTTCTAACACAAATTTGTTTGTTCTTCTGGCAGTCTGTGTTACTTTTCTACCCCAAAACCATAACTGAAATGGATCAATTCTTCTAAGGTCTTCCATATTCACTGTTAAAACATTCTCATGCATATAATGCTACTGAAAACACCATGACTTAGGTCAGGCGCACTTTAGCCCTTAAACTGACATCTTTGCTCTTGAACACTTTAAAGAGTTCTCCTGCAGCAGATGTGCCTAATGTAATACTTCATTTGATTTCTCAACTGCCGCTTCCATGACTGTTGATGGTCAATCGGAGCAAAATGAATCCTTGGACAACTTTAGTTTTTTCTCCATTTAACTTGATGTTATTGGTCCATTTGTGAGGATTTCTGTTTTCTTTACAATGAGGTAAAACCCATATTGAAGGCTGTGGTCTATGATCTTCATCAGTTAAGTATTTTAAAGTCCTCTTTGCTTTCAGCAAATAAAGTTGTATCATCTGCCTATCACAGGTTGTTAATGAATTTTCCTCCAATCTTGATGCCACATTCTTCTTCATGTAATCCAGCTTCTTGAATTATTTGCTTGCATACAAAAGGAAAAGTATGGTAAAAGAATACAACCTTGGTGCACAACTTTCCTAATTTTAAACCACGTGGTGATGCACTGTTCTATGTACAAGTTCATTATAAGCACAGTAAGTGTTCTGGAATACTCATTCTTTGCAATGTTGTCCATAGCTTGTTATCCACATAACTGAAAGCCTTAGTGTAGTTAATAAAGCACAGGTGAAAATCTTTCTGCTACTGTCTGCTTTCAGCCAAGATCCATCTTCTGTCAGCAGTCATATCCCTCATTCTACGTCCTCATATGAATCCAGCCTGAACCTCTGGCAGCCTCCCATCAACGTACTGCTTCAGCCATTTTTAAAATATCTTTAACAAAATTTTACTTGCATGTGATATTAATGATATCATCTTAAGATTTCCGCATTATTTTGGGTTGCCTCTCTTTGGAATGGGCACAAATATGAATGTCTTCCAATCAATCATCAGTTGTCTTTCAAATTTCTTGATACAGATGGGTGTCAGTGTGAATTCCATCAGTTCCTGGATCCTTGTCTTTTGCCAATACCTTTAGTGCATCTTGGACTTCCTCCTTCAGTATCATGAGCTCTTGGTTACATTCTACCCCTTGAAATGGTTGAACACAGACCATTTCTTTTTGGTACACTGACTCTCTCTGTATTCCTTCCATCTTCTTTTGATGCTTTCTGCATCACTCAGTATTTTGCCTACAGAATCCTTCAGTATTGCAAGTCAAGGCCTGATATACCTATCACCAGGTACGTGCTAGAATATGGATGTGCACGAAGGTTACATGGTCCTCACCCCCAGGGCCATCATGCATGCCTTCACTGTTTCTGCTTTGGCTCTGCCTGGGTTAAGTAAGTGAAAAACTTGAAACAAAACCTTACTTTTGAAAGCATGCAGGAGAGCAAGGTAGAGTCAGCTCATAGGTACCAAGCTCCTAAAACTCAGCAATGACACATGAATTTAATTAACAGAAACTTTAGAAATGCCTGATTAAAAATTTCCAAACTTTGAAACGATTCATTCTTGGGTATTTCCTTAAAGCTTTCCCAAAGTCCGGCAGTCCCCCTCACCCCTGCCACAGCCTGCCAAATGAGCATTGCCTTCCAGTCCTTGGGCTGGAAACAATGAACGACTGGTCCCCCTGGCTCTCCAATTAGGCCCAGAGCCAGGGGCAGCCCCAGTGGGGGCAACTGGGCTCTAACACAGACACAGCACTCCAGCACAAAGACAAGCAGAGAGGCCCTGAAGGGAGTTGAGGGCCAGGCAGCTGGAGGAATGCTCCCGGTATTCGGTATTCTGTATTCAAACATTCCGAGCAGATGAAATCATCTGAGATGTAGACTAGTTGGTAGCCTGCTCCTAAAGATGCAGTTGCATTTGCCCCTCTTTCATCTCCCATGCATGAAAAAAACTGAACAGGGACTGTTGGAATTTATGGTTATTTTCTTTGGCACAGATGCAGTTCCCCTTATCTGTGGTGGTGTTGGGATCATTTCCTTTCCTTCACTGGGGAAACAGGCATCACTTCAGGGAAATGCCTGTCAGAAGCTCCAAGTGGGTCAACCACCATGGCAACCATGACCCAGCACACCAGCGAGGGATAAAACGTCACACTGGGAGCTTGTCTTAATCTCTTTGTGGCTTTCTTCAAACCCTGATAGTTCCAAGCACCCCATGACCTACAGTGGTGGCCCTTCCTTTGTCCTTGAAAACAGACAGTTGGTTCCTCAAATAGGAAAAAACAGCCACAGAAACTTCCTTTCAATGAAGCCATTAGAGACACTAAATGACTGCAATCTGCCCTAGTAGGGGATGGAGCACAGTGATACTTTCTATGGGGAGGAAAACTGCTGTTCACAGCTTGTGTGAGGGCAGGAGCAGACCTGGATTACTTCCATGTCATTTGTGGTGGGTTCCCATTTGATAGAAGCAGCCATTAAATTATGAAAAAGCAAATCCAGACAACAATAGCACATGTTGGCAAGCTGTTGTTGTTAAGTGCCATCGAGTTGGTTCCAACCCATAGCAACCCTGTATATGGTTTCGGAGGACTGGCTGTTGAGCTTGAACTGCTGACTTTAAGGTTCAAACCAACTTTGCAGTCCAGTCCATTACATTAACCCACAGCGCCAAACTAGGCCTCAAGGGAAGGCAAACAACTATCAAGGAGAACTCTTTATGGTATCAAAAGTCCAGGAAGATTATTTCATTTCTCTGAACGATAGTTTACTTATGTATAAAATGAGGAAAGTAATTGTCTTGAAAATCCCTCACTAAAATCCTACAACTCTCGGATTTATAAACCTGCAGAATTTGACAGGAGCTTGACTTTCTGAGGGAAAGCCAGGTCTCTAATTCAGCAGGACAGGGAGAACAAGTGCACGAGGTCAGAGGTCAGAATCTAGCTATTTCCCTGGGAACCATCAAGTACTCACTGTCAGGTTCCACTTCTTGCTTCTGAAACTGCTCGAGGAGATTTTGTGCTCTTCTTTCGGGGTCAGAGCCTGACATCATCCGTTTGAGATAATCCAACAGTTTCTGCAAGCAAGGGAAATGAGGGGGTTCTCGGAAGTCTTCGGCACACTGGTCAAGCCAAGCCCTCAAGATTGAGGCAATTGCACTAGGAGAAATAGAGAGTCATTACACTCAACAGGTTGTGGGACTCAAATCAAGTCCTGGACACCACCTATTCCAGGCAGGCTCCAGGAAAACGTGGGCAGATGGTCAACAGATAATTCATTCAAAAGTCCCTGGCAGTGTCAATGAACTGAAGGCACACGAAAACAAGATGACTACACTTCATTATTTTCAGTTGCGGCTTTATGGGCGTGGTAAAGGCTGATAATATTTTGTTGTTGTTTTTAAAAAGGACCTGAACTTTGGGAAAATCATTATGTGGCAGAAAAATACATACAGGAATAGAAGATTTATACATCATGAGGCAACTTAAAAGCAATCTACATACAAATGGATATTGAGATCTCCAATCCTAAATTCATTCAAATCAGAGACCACAAAATCTGCCATCCTATTTTAGGAAACAGCTGACTACAAGTAGCCCATAAATCCATCAGATAAAGGAAGTGCTTGGGTTTGGAAAAGATAACAAAAAATTTAATTCATATAGCTCACCAAGGTTTCAGCATGAGCACCTAAAACGTCCTTACAAAGTTATCTTTTTGTTTCTCAGATTTCTTCAGGAGAATGTTTCATAAATGAGAAATAGTATAGGCAACGAAGTTAGGTATTTGAAAGATAATTAAGTGGAAATAAACTGAAGGGCTCTGAGGGTCACATGCAGGATCTATCTCAGATTAAACAAGGTCCCAGAGTAAAGAAAGTTGTGGGTGTACAATTCCCTCCCTCCAAACATGTCACTAGTAACACAAGGATATTGTCTTGAGGTTAGGAACAACTTGTCACTCAAGAAGAGTAACAAAAAGCTAAATGTTAAAAAGGATAAAATGTTCTAAGTGCTATTATTTTATGCTTCACATTCAAAGAGGGCTTTGTAGATGGTCCTGGGTCAGGCACATACGTGGCTGTGTCCCATGGAGAACACAGCACTTGGCTGTCTACATAGCCAAGGTTATTCATTCATGATGGTGACTGGAAATTCAGAAACTATAAACTATCAATGCATGTTACATAAACAAAGATGTTAACACTTAGATAAAGACCTAAAAATTACTATCACCTGGTCATACTTCAACTACATCATTTACTTTATTAAACTATAATAAGACTAAATTTCGTTATTATCCATCTATGTCTAAGGACTTTCACAAGGGTCTTTAAAGTTCACGTCTCCTGATTTCACACCAAGGGTCCAAGCTATGAAGGGGGTATAAATATGACAGAAGTCAAGTCGGTTCTGACTCATAACGACCCTGTGTAGGGTTTCTGAGCAACGGCTGATGAGTTTGAACCTCCGACCTTGCAGTTCAAACCGACCTTGCGATCCAGCACATTATCCTGCAATGCCACACCAGGACTTTAGCCTAGATTAAGTAAAATGATAAAGATTTCACTCCCTTCCAGAATGCTAGAAAAAAAAATTGGTCTGGCCTTCTGGAATTAATTAAAAACAAAAGTACAATGAAATCAGTGAACTTCTAGCTTTGAGGACACACAGAGAGCATTTATTATTTGTCCTTTCTTCACAGAAACTAAGTATGAATTTAAAAAGATAATGATGATGGAACATTCTAACGCTTGATTTTTATAAGGAATGTGAATGATGTTTTCCACGCATTATTTCCTGATAAACCCTGAGCCCAGAACTATGGTGGGCAATTAGGGATAGCCTAGAAAATGGAAAAACCTGACATTTATATACGCCAGACTGACTCTTAAAAGAGAACAGAGTTTTTCATTTTTCAAGAGGGATGAATTAATCTAATTTCTAATTAATCCAAACTGTTTCTTAGCATTTCAGTGAGAGATATTCTTCTCTAGACATTGATAGAAAAATAGATAGAGAAGGGAAATGATAAGTCACACCACAAAATAAAACATTTTAAAGTATCATTCTAACAATTTCTAATAACCTAATGACCCCTCTCAGCATTGCATAATTTAAAAGAACACCCTGACAGAAATTCAAAATTATAGGTAAAAGGTAGTGATATTAATGTATCATTTATTACTTTACCACCCATAACTATTTTAAAATTACACAACTGATTATCTGGGGGCGGAGGGAGTAAATATTACAAATGTGCATAAATTTAGAAGGCAAAACACCTGCTTTCATTTAAGCCCATTCCTTCCCGTGACCTTTTGCTAACAATTTGGTTTATTTCCTTCTAGACATTTCTGGGGTGATATACATAGATACATCTATAGCCACACTGAATACGGTTTCCAAGGAGTGGCTGGTGGGTTTGGCCGCTAACCTTATAGTTAGCAATCCAGTGCTTATCCTACAGTGCCATACCAGGACTTCAGACAAACAAATAGATAAGTCTATGTAAGTATGTTGTAGTTAAGTGCAATCGAGTCGGTTCTGACTCACAGAGACCCTGTATAAGGTTTCTGAAGAGCAGCTGGTGGACTTGAACCACACTGATCTAAAGGCTGGCAGTCCAGTATTTATCCTACAGTTGTTGTTGTTGTTGTTATGTGC